CAACTTTGTGGTTAGATTTTTACCTTCTAAAAGTTCAAAGCAAGATTCATGATTTAACATCAAGAAGGTTACCTTGATGTTTGTCGCCTGTTAGCAGAGGCAAGTGACTCAGAATGACCTTCCAATACTAAAGAAGGGAATTACTTCTTACGCAAATGTGTTATTTTGATCTGAAAGGCTGCAGTGACAGGAATCCAAACTGCCGACATTATCTGCAGTACTGCAGATGGGACCAAAACATTCGACGATTGTGCCCTAAGTCGTGTCGCCTTTGTAAGTGGATCAAACAGTGCTTATATGATAAGCTGAGTTATACACACATTTTGATCAATTCTTACTTATGATCTATTCGAGGAAAGACGCCTAGATGACGTCACCATTAACAATATTTTGCTTTTTTATCATATAGAAAAATAGGTACTTCATTTTGACGTCATCTATGATGTAGTACGGAACAGACGCACGGCAACATGGAATCTATTTCTTAAAATAAATCACTACCCATCTACCTTAATTATCATCACAACTATAAATGTTACTGTAGTTGCCACTATCACTATCTTGATTACTTTTACCGTTATAAATTCCATTTCTAGTTTTGCTTTCATTAACATCAACATACTGTTCTTGTCAACGAATTTTCAGTTCAAACCTGATCTATTCTGATACCAATATGGTATGTCGTCTCGTCACAGACATGAAGCTATTTTTTCAAAATTTAGGAAGCTTTTTTTAATTTTCTTTGCAGGCTAGATAGAGAGTGAGGACCCGCCACAACACGGAATGGACTTCTTTCACCAGAATGAAGAAACATTGTTGATTTTGTCACGTAGAAAAGTCCAATAAACTAGCTTAAATGCCCAATACTTAAACTCGTGCCATCGTCTTTACTGATATTTAGATGGCGAAAAGGAGTACAATTAACTGAGGCGATTTTTTAAAAAATGTAAAACCTCCCAGTAAGACACAAAGGTGAGAATAATGCGCCTGCAACAGTAGCAATCGAGTAGCAAGGCGAATAATTTTCAACGATGAAAAGATGGAGGGAATAAAAGGTACCTTTCATCCAATATCTATCTTTATGTCTTCGAAATTTCCTCGTTATTCGTTGTCTGGAATGTCAATACCGAATCCAAATTAAGCCTGCACACGTGCAACATTTCTACTGCAATTGAACGGCGATCAAGTTCAATTTTGCCGCCATTTTAAAAATCCAGGTAACCACTCCTCTTGCATGACTTATTTAAAGGGCATTTAAACCCAAAAATACATGTTTTTCTTATACTATGTAAAAAGTGGCGTAGAAAACGAATTTGAAATTAGTTTTGTCCAATTCGACTTATTTTAGGAGAAAATCGGCATTTTCAACTGAAATTCCATTTCCGGTAAAAACAATAGCGAGAAGTCGTGACGTAAGCGGTGGAACCAAAATATTGCGCAACACGTATTCCCCAGTAGAACTGGTGTGGGAGTTCGTGTAAGTAGCGGTAGTTCGGAAGATGTTTTTTCAGAAGATAGCGACTCGAATGCCTTAAGCTTAGCACATGACAGCGCTGGGGATAATCCAGAATCTTCAGGAGAGTCTGGGCCACGTCCTTAACAATATGAGCCGCGTAGGGTTCACCGAAGCGATCCGCACGAAGACAGTACAGAACATGTCGACAGCGATGCGACCGTCTCGGAAACTCAGACTGGTATTTAATTTACTTTGTGATTTATTTGTATTTAACATGAAAATGCAATAAGGCGAGGGTACAATCTAAAGGAATGCAGCAGAATTTTTTTTAACTTGAGCTTCTGAAAGTGTTTTATATAAAATTATCAAAGGTGCGAGTGTGGAACTTGTCAACCAATGCCGACAACTCATGAAAGTGTTTGTTGTACGGAAATCGGGCAATTGTGGCAAAATGGCCTTAAACCCAGATAAGTTGTATCACTGAGCATCCAGGTTTTCAGTCAATTTGCCTCGATTTCTGGGTGCTGAAGACGGACAAGTACGCGTACAGGCAGCAGCAAAGCACAGATAATCAGATCGGAAACGACTAAGCTAAATATTTTCTGTTTCATCTGTTTTGTTACATTTTGAGATCGATTTACTTGAGTTGTTTCTGCCATTGATTTAATAATACAGTACTAGAGCTAGTTGTTTTTCGCTTCTTTCCTGGCAGGAAATTTCGCTAAATTGCCTACAGATAGCTTGTTCGTTGATGTTGGGGATATCTCGGCAAACACTTTAGGGTCGCTGTGCTATCTTGTGCGGTAAACAATATCCTTCATCTCAGAAGCATTTCCATCGATAAAAAAGGTGTATCACGTACATTTCCTTGTGTGCCCTTCATAATTATCCAACCCTGTTTGTGTTTTCTTCGATTTGAAATATTGAAAAGATAGTTTTACAAGCTGAAATCAGGATCTTTTAAGTTGTACTCAAAATGATGAATATTGTCCTACTGACCTTTGAATGCATTTTCACTGCTGTAAAAACCGTGACACAAATTCTTCTGCTGTTTCTCTGCAGGGTTTCTCAAAGGAAGCACCAAGTGGGGCTGGCTTGGATTTTCTAATAGAACATAAGGGTTGATTATGGGATCCTGTATAGAATTCTTTTTATCGAACCGGCAAAATTCCAGATCACGTTATTACACACTGATATCAACGAATTCTCTTCTCTCTCAGACATGTCAGTGTCTTTTACGGGCTCAGCGCTGGCTCCCGAACAACTGGCTTCCCCATAATATTTCATTAGATGAGAAAAAAGATGTTTTTAGAGAACCAATAAAGCTATTGTTGTTTAATTAACAAAACGTTTTCATGTAAATAGATTTTGTACTTTCTCTGTTGACCTCTAACTTTTGAAGAGCTCAACTTCTTTCTCAGTTCGGTCGGCCACTTCCGAATCCTCGTCGTCTGCCGACTGTATGGGTCATTTTTATACTTGCGAATAATTTGCTTCTGGTGAGGCCTGAATCGTCGGTACAGCACTAGGAAGAAAAATGACTGCTACAAACAACAGAACGTTCGAACGGCTCGACGAAATCGGCTATTTTCACTTGAACAAATTTCACAAATTGTCGCTTCAAATTTGCGTCATTTGGAAATATTTGCATTGTATGCCCAGTTTTGTTTGAATCAGTACAAAACTGGACGACACAACGCTTCACCATTACGAAAAAATTGAATATATTGAAGCAAACTGTAAGTAAAAAAATCATGACGAGACCAGCAAACAACGAAAGACTCCTTCGTGCCTCACGCGATTATAAAACGAGACTTTGGAGGGTCCACCCGTGACGTCACAGGAAAGATGGCGCCATTCAAGATGGCGAATATTTCGAATTTGGAAGAGCTTTTACAAAGTGAAAATGGACTTTTGAGAATAAACGAATGGTACCTTTGGTGTACTTGATATATTTACAAAACATCTATGTGAAAAGAAAATGAACGTTTTTTGGGTTTACATACCCTTTAAAGAAAAAACTGGTAACTACTGTTACTATGGTGATTCTGTCGGATTTGCAAATGGCGGTCAAAACGAAGCTGATGGAGGCGAAGAGGTGATGTTTGGCCATGATTTTAAAAGTGTTTACGGAGTTCCAGTGGACGGGATTGTGCCAAAATTTCAAAGAAGAAAATAACTCGTCAGATGAAAGGTATCTTTTGATATTTTTTCTCTTTCAATAAGCTAACGAGAAGAACTTTATTTCTAAGCTTCTGCACTCTTTTACGAGTGGTACGTTAGAAAGCTCGTAAACTGTGAAAATCTTTACATCACCACATATAAATGATGTTTGACCTGCGGTTTGTTTCACAGAACCTAATTTATTTTTGGCAAAAATGTTAAGCGTCCGTACTTTTTGACTAGCGGCAATGATGTTTGATAGGCGTAAAAGTTTTCGACTGCTCTTAAAAATTGTTGTTCGTAAAAACCGTGACCTTGATAGACAGAATTATTTCTAGCTTCGGTAATCATACCGCAGTGGTCGTCATTTAAAAATTTTGCTATGATGAGCTTTGACCTCGATGTCATCCCGATACGATGTAGAGTGGCTTTCAAAAACTTTGTGCTTTCCCTTCGCGCGGGAGATATGAATGGCCCGAGGAAACATGTTAAGCCTTTATCAGTTTGGAATCTGAGATCTCAGTCTTCTAAAACTTTGATCGTGTCATTTCATACCAAACTGCATGCATGATGAATCATTTGTTGACCTATATAAATAACCGCCGTGAAATATCAAATAAGGATGATATTTGAAAACTAAAATTTAGGTCACCTCAGTTTACTTAGTTATGGCAAACCTGAGTATCTTTGGGCAAGGCTTTCTACCCGTTTTATTACTGTCATTCCTTTTGCTTTTTTGCTCCTATTCTGTCATCGCTTCCATATTTAAGTCCTCTCCATGAGTAACTTCGCAGTGGCGAAACTTACCAAAACTCTTAATTCCCATTTATTTTCCAACGAGAGAATTACATTTAAAAGACAACAATTTAAATATCTAAGGAATAGAGCAATTCTCAAAAATCATTCGACATGCAAATGAGATTTTGTACAATGCGATTCCAGTTACTATATGAATAAAATTTATTTTTCACGCCTTCATTTCACCATCTTTCCTACTCTATTAAATCAAAAGAGGCTCTTTTGACATTGCTGATCCTTGCAGTCTTTTGGTCTTAGAATCTCTGTGGCTCAACTGTGGAGCGTTGGAGCTCGAAGTACGTATGTTTGACATTCAATTTCTCAAAGAAAAGACAAAAAAAAATAATGTTTCTTCAAATTTTACTTTTTGTTATAAAATGTTGTTGTGTATCGCAGTTTTGTATGTAGAGAAATCAGTAAATCAACGTTTAATCGTTTGTCTCCGATGAAGAGTCGTGCTTTTAGTTGTACTTTTGATGTGTTAAAATTAATAGCCTGACCCTTCCTACATCGTAAGAAAAACGATTAAGCGTTTATTAAATCTTTCTGCTTGATGATTAATATGAGACTAAATTTTCTCTGATTAACTTTATTTTTCTACCAAATTTCTACAACTCAGTTACAATCAAACGGCATTAGTTTTATACATACTATGCCATGTCAATTAATTTTCTATATAAATTACCGAGTTACTTTTATTATTGTGTATGTTTTTTCTCATATATTTCAGACAGTTTAAGTAACTGAGTAATCTCTCTAAGTTTGTGATTTTCTACCAAGCAGTTTTTACTCCTCTCGTCAAAACGATGTCCGGTCCAGGGCCAATGATAAGTTATCCAGCTAGGAACAAATAGAGAAAAATTAGAACAGAAAAAAAAATCAACCAAATAAGAAACATAAAATTTTCCTTGAATTGAAGGTAAATATTTTCCAATATTTTAATGACTCTATTGAGATGAATGACTGTTTTGGATGGATTCATAGGCTAGCGGTCCAAAGAAGTACTTTTAGAGGGTCTCAATGGGGTGATGGCTTTTACGGCTAACACGGGTAAAAATTTTTGGCCATTTTACGGCTAACGATTAATTTATTTCCATTGTTGCCACTGGGAAAACGAAACTTAAGTTTCCCATTCCCACTATTAAACGGATCAATTCACACTGAAGAAGGAATAACGATCGATTTGAAACCGGTCATATTCTCTGTGAAAACGCTAAAACTTTTTTCCGTCTACACTGGAGAGTGGATGAATATTTTCTCACCAATGTAGTGTGAACAGTCGTAAGTGACAGCAAGGTCTCATTAATTAAGAAAAGGTGTGAACAGGTATTAATAAAACACTTACCAGCACAAAGTCCACACGTCTTTTTGCATTTATCGGTCATGAAGGCCTTATAATTACTGCAGTAGTTATATCCTTTGAGCATTTTGCACGAAGTCGACGTATACTTATCAACGCAGGGTAATTTAACTAAAGAATGAGAATCAAACGAGTAATGCGCCGGTCAATTCGAAGCTTAAAAAAAGAAAACCTCCTACGTGAAACCCACGGACATTTGACTGTCTTCCGTGCCCGGGTGGTGGGGAATTTGAACCATGCCTGGGTAGGGTGGGAATTTGAACCGGAACTGTCGAGTCCTTCCGGCGGAATAAACTTGTTTTACCTTTAGGTCGCTAATCTTGCCTTTTACAAAAAAAATTGGCCATGAAATCCGGCACTTGAGTTGGGCATTTGAACATAATTTTGGCCTCTTGAATTTGAACCAGTCTTCAAAAGTTCAAATGCCCAATACGTTGCCGGGGAGGGGATGTTGAAGCTTTGAATTGATCGACGCAAAGTTGTTTTGATTTTAGTAGTCACAAAGCTAATAAGAATAGTGGTAGATATTACGAGAAATCCACGTGAGTTCGAAATAAAAACGAGCAAACTTACTGACTGCGACTTAATAAGGAAAGATTAGTTTTAGTTTGTGTCTAAATGACTGAGGAAAAAAAAAAAAGGAAAAGCAATATACTCTTGGATTATTTTCGACCCCTATTTCAAAAATTATTTTAACGAAAATCGTTAAAGGCCTTGTTATTGTATAGTTGTTATTTCGCTGTGTCAAGTATGTTTAAATGGATTCTTTGATACCTCAGCCAGTTGAGATCATTTGAAATCATTTGTTTATTTCTTTTATATTTTGAATTTTTGGCTACTTATCAATCCATTCGACTGCTTAGTTTTGAATTAGCCCTTAAAGAGCGATTAGATGCAACCTTTTTTAACATGTGCAAATAGATCTGCTAGTTTCTGCATTTCTACCACGATTTTTCCATAAGATTGGATCAACATATATTGGCTAGTTAAATAGTACACTTTACTCACCGACGCTGTGACCACCTGGAAATGAAGAAAAGGGAAAATAATGAATTAAGTAAAAGATTGGTTTTAAAAAGTCAAACACTTGATTTTTCTAGATCTTCCGAATTACTATTTATCTCCCATAACCAAAGTACACACCCAAAGTTATAGGCGTAATAAAGCTTACCGCAAATTCCACATGATTTACGGCAACTCTTCCTCACAAAATGGTTACCCGTGCATTCGTCAACATAATCCTGGCATGAAGGCACGTCATCAGCGCAGTTCCCTGGGGCTAACTCAAACAGGACGGAAATTCATGAATTAGTTAGACTCATCCAGTATGTTAATTATCCATGATAAGGTCGCTCAATCCTCCTGCATTAGTGCTATTGTAATGTAATTTGGATCCGTGCAATGTGAGCGGTTGTGAAACAGGAACAACTACTTTGTACGAGAAGACGGTTTGGTGGTTTTCAAATCTTTCTTTTTGCCGTAATGACTGCTTAGATAATCTTGTAACTGCAAATAACATTGACATACTCACGCTCAGTGGAGTCTGGTTGAGCAGTTCCCTGCACTGAAGCGACAAAAGTTGATTAGAAACGTTAGCTTTGCAACTTTTAACGAAAGAGACTTATTAAGAGTACATCAACCCCCAAAAAAACCTAATTTGTGAAAAGATGGTTCACCAGACTGCGTAACACTCTAGGAAGTGTCCAATGAAGAACAATATTGAAATTGATGCTTCCCTTAAAGTGTTCGTTTCATTCGCTCATCATGATAAAGTTTTAGCATATGTGATTGGTCCTTGCATGTGACGACATATTCAAGTCGTCATTAGCACAAGTTTTTTTCTTCATCTTGTGTTTTCATAGCAGGCAAGAACTAATCCTGGTTACCCATGATGCTCCACTGTGATTGCTAGGTTTCTAACAGCAGTAACTGTAGCATATTAATTTAAGGTTAGCTTGCGACTAGGCCCTCATTATTAGCGCTGCGAGACACGCGTTTCCTCGCGCCCGCGAGAAGCAGAGAGATTCACCGGAAGTCTGGCATTACTAGTAAGAGTACCTCTCGCCGACTCGCCTGGTTCGCCCGAGGTCTCATACTTTCTCACTGGCAAAGAAACGCTGAAGCGCTAATCTTAGGTGTATACCGGATAAGGCTTTTGTCACTCCCTGCTCTCCCCTGTCAGACCTAAAACTATCCCACTCACTGTAGATATACCCAATTCCATGTCTTTCCTCGTCCGTGAGATTTTGGTTGTTTTTATACTCCATATACATAACAGCTTTAGGATCGTTAGAGTGCTTCAACCCCAAGAGGTGTCCAATCTCGTGAAGAGCAATTGAGAACAGATTGTATCCAGTCGTGTTACTGTTGGTGTATTGTTCATCGTCGTCAAAGTGAAGAGCGCCGGATTTCGGATAGAATGCATGAGCAATGCTTCCACCCGTACCATCAAATTTGCAGCAACAGCTGGCGTGAACCCTTGCAACAAATCTGCAGTGGAAAGGAGCCAACATATTTATGCAAGGCAATCCATGTTAACTGCATTTTGATTGGCATTACTCACATGATTCTCAGTACTAATGTATTTTACATATATGAAAAAGTATTCGACCCACATCAAGGGCCAAATAATATCCTTGTGTAAATCGTTGTTTCTTTTTCCTTTCCTTTCTTTTTTTACATAAATTTCAATTAGTTGTCGTAGATAAAAACTGTTTCTCTCGCAATGCTTTTGATTACACTATTTACGATGTAATTACATGCACTTTCTCTGGTCGTAGTATAGTTACTGATACAGGGGATCTTACATAAGCGCGCGTTGATAAGAATTTTATCTTCGGGTGTGAGCTATATATCTCTCGTGAGATAGAAAGGCAAACGAATGAAAGATGCTGTCATCACGAGAAGAAAGATTGGTTTTCGCAGGTGGTATGTAATGTTCTGTGTACTACATAGATATTGAATGCATGTTTAAATCAAGGAGCAAGTTTGATACACCTTTTAAGCAGACCAAATGTAGCGATCATCAGCACGTGAACTCAGCTCGCATATAGGCTGCGTCATCCTTCGTCGATTTTCTCATTGTTAGATATGTTTCCTCTGACACAAAGTATAATTCAACCCTAGTTACGTCCAGTTATGTAATAAATCACTTCGTGAAAAGTTTATAAATTCGGTCACCAAGACGATATTAATATCAGTCACCTGTGAAAACAAGGTGCGTTATCTGCGCGCAGAAAAGATATGTTATCGAAAAGAGTTGTAATATTTCGACTCGATTTAAAAGCCGCCACCTATATAAACCATGTGTAGATAGCAGTTTACTTACGATATACTGATGTTCGCGTTTGAGCTGGAGTTATTGACCTCACTGAATGAAACTGGACCAATTTTTTCCCATGCCTTAAAAGCTCTCCGTATGATACCTCGCTGTTGACTTACAGTCAACCCACCATTTGATGCGAAGTTATGGATTCTGTAAGTGAGATGCATAGTTTCCCAACGATATCCGGAGACAGAAAACCTTTTAACCCGCCCTAAAAGATAGCAACTATCAGATCAAAGATGAACAATACACACCAAAGAACTATTATATTATCTGACTCAATAACCAGTTCTTTATAGCTCATTCAGTAGAGCATAGGTTCAGGGTTCGAATCCTCGTAAAAGACCACTTTTTTCTTTATCCCACGCCTGTGAGAAATTGATTTTACAGTCGAACTTGTCACCGGTAACCCCGTATTTTAAAAGCGGTCACCACGGTATTAAGCAGCTGGTTGTCAAAGTCCCAAGTTTGTCTTCCCCTAATCACAGTAATGTTAGCCTCTATTCAGTGGTCACCTCTGTGAAGCGATAAAATTTACCTGATTCCCCCAAAAGGGTCTGTAATATTCTTATCACGACTGATACCCCTGCTCTCCCACTGAAACTGACATGTGATCCCCGTAATATCCTTCGCGCCTCCCCCCACCTTCCCTCCACAGGTGATAAAAAATGACCATTCCCTTAAATTGCAGTACGTTTTACCCGGACTGGGTTTGTCATCGTCGTCAAAATCCGGGACACCGCATCTTGGCTTGTGCATCTCGGCTATTGTTTTTCTATCCAGCTGACCTGTGTTTGGAATATTCACAAATTCCTGGAATATTCTCACGGCGTCCTTGAAGTTATGGTTTCCATTTTTTAAGGGGGACAGGTAATGATACTTCTTCAGAAAATCCTATGAGATAAAGCAGATTTCTTACCTTAGCTTGTTTCCAAGACAAGTTCGACCACAAGTAAAAGACTAAAATGCAAGTTTTTTTAAATTTTCTAACTCCCATAAATGATTAACACACAATGTCCAGTAAATAGGTGATAAGAATACTCAAACTTATATAGTAGAAGTTATTATGCTTATCTAAAGTTCTTGGTGTGCAAATTCGTTTTTTCTCTGGCAGATAGCAGTAATCAAAGGCGAAGTAATGGACACGAATTGAAAAACAACAACAGCAACAACAACAAAACAAAACACACTTGATGCAGCATGAGCTACAGGATTGCAAATATCATATCAAAACTGGCGAAACAAATTATAAGACACCTGAAATCTTATAAAAATCGGTTTATTTGTATAATGAAAGTAGAAATAGAGATCTGATAGACCCTATGCAATTTATACTAGACTGTGAGCTAAATGTTCTTTCTTTCCCACTGAAAATTAGTGATAATTCAATGCAAAGAGATTAGCTGCAAAACCTGAATTAGCCCAGTTTCTATCTGGTGACACGGTTACCCGTCAGTTGCACTAGCTCTGGTTAGATAGGGATGAATTTCTTTAAAACGGATGTTTGCTATGTAATAATTTCAAATCAGTTGTACGTACCAGGGCAAATTGTTTCTCCTTTTCATCTACTGGAGCACCATTTGAACAACGCAGAGACAGAAAAAGGAGAAACAACCGCAACAATTGAGATGCTTTTCGCATCGTTGATAGTGGTGCTGAGATTCTTAGCCTCCAGCAGGCACTGGCTAAACGTTAAATGTTACCTCTCCGAGGAAATGGTTCCTATATACATCTTCAGACTGAAATAGAACTTTTTATTATTTTAAAGAAGCTGGTTCTTGAAAATAAGGGCATCCTTTGAGTAAAGGAGCACTTCATGGAATTTAAGATCGTTGAAGTTGCCCCCTTCAATTCCCTCCCGGATTACTAAGATCATTTTCGGGAAGTGCATTGAGTTATTTTTATATCACTCGAAATATTCGATTTGACAAAGCTTAAAAGTCGGTCTGAGTTAGCTGCAAACTATGAAATAGTTATTGAAAGCTTAATAAGACGTTTCCGAACAGTATGGAAGAGAAACACATTTCCTTGTTGCATTTAAAGTTCATGTCAGAAATAGTACGTTTAATTTTAAATCTTTATTTTTTATTTTCCTATACTCTGATGCAAAAGAACTCGCCCATGGCTTTGACCCTTTAAATCCTAGACTGGCGTGATTAAAATGCAACTTCTCCATTGAATATTCCTACACTATCCAGTAAACAGCTAATGAGATCACTCAAACTTATCAGGTCGGATTATTTTCTTGATGTAAAACCAAATTCTTGTAACTAATTTACAAGGAAATGTGTAGCAGCTCGAGGGGGAATGAACAATGCGATCTTGGGAATTAGGGGTGAAACCTTAGCCGCCGGGAGTTGATGGAAGGTGTTGACATTTTCCAGAATATCCTTAAAACTACTTTGATTGTGAACAATAGACATTGTGATTTATTTACATACGAGAATTGAATTTTTCCTCTTTTTACTGTGTTCTTGAAGACGCCAAAACAGTCAATGGGGGCCTATAAACGCGAAACCGGCGGTACCTTCAAACTTCTTGAGAATGAGTTGTAATTACAATTATCTTTTATGCCAAATAGCATTGATTTTTTCATTGTTTCCTATCATGCAACGAGGAATATAGATATTAGAAGGCAAATGCATTGACAAAGAACAATTTTCGTTTTCCAATCTTAAAATATCTAGAGATTCAAGACAAAGACGGGTAAAATATTTCTGAAACAGTAATTAGCTGAACGTGAAAGGTAAGATTGTAACTTATATCAATGTCTTCCTCCGGACACCGGCCGAAATGATATTGTTAGTTGGCAATAGTATGAGTGACAATTCAACATGTCTGAAATAAAGATGATCGAACTACACGGAGATGGGAAATAATAAGCGAACTTCTATTACAAAATATATTTTAGTCATCTCAGTCACCTTTACTAATTTGTTATTTTTAAATATCTTTCAATACGATTATGGCCTTTGCACTAAATCAAGCATCACCTTCTAGAACAATTCCTGTTTATTTTTCATCGAAACTCATAGCGCTCGGGTTACTTCAGTGATTCAGTTCGAAAGGCGGAATTCAAAATAGAAGATCGAAAAATAAATCAATTTTGTCGAAATACTTCGAGATGGGAAACTCGTGATTAACTTCGAGAAATGTCATAACTTCCTTTTTTTAAGTAATTCACACCGGTTTTTTTTTTAGCCTCAGTAACTTAAGAAAACGTTGCTAGATGGAAATAAAAAGAGCCACTTCCTATCCATTAACTCAAGAGCAGCACACTGAAATAAATACTTTTTCTCTCCCACTAAAACAAATCAATCGGAAGTCTGTAGCTAATTAAGATTGTTTCAAGTGTGTTTTTACTGATTATTATTGTGGGTATCATTTTCGAAGCTCTCAGGTGCTTGCTTCCTTTCTTTTAACGCCTCTTCCAAAGTACTATTTTATAACCATCTTATAGCATCTACATCAATGAAAAAAAAAGAAAAATATGGAAGAAATTTGTTCGCATACATGTACTCTCTCGTCTAGACGTCATGTATTTTATCTTTCATTTAGTGTATTTGCGTCTAAAGAAAAAAATCTACATCGATTCAGAAAAAGAAAATTTAACTGACCTTTCAAATTATATTGAAGAGATTAGTTAGTAAAAATGTACTCTCTCGATCGTTTAGACGAAATTTATTTTCTCTTTTGTCTGGTGTATTTGCTCCTAAAAGGGCCTTAAAAAAAGAAATAAAGCCACCTTTCTGGCAAGTTTTGGAGAAAAAAGTTGAGTGCATGATACTTTACGCAAAGACAACGTCTTAACTGAGCAAGAGCTTTTAAGCAACTTCTGGGGCTGATCTTTTACGATGGTGTTCTCATGAATCAATCGATTTTCTTGTTTATCGGAAAGCAGTAAGAACTAGATTTCCTGAGATCATCACAGAGACATTGCAACCCCGCGTTCGACTAGACCTCCAACCATTTCGTTTATAGGAAAAGAGCTTTAGCAGTCGAGGCTTAGTTTGCTTCTTACGACTTGTCACGCGAATCCGAGCAAACTTAATACATACGTGAAACGAGTCATAAAGCTAAGACTTCTTACATCCCTTCATAGTTAAGTGTTTGATTTCCCCTCCTGCCCATGGAACTCGTGGGCAATGTGCAAACGAGACCAGTGCACTCGCATATTCTGTCCTTTAGCTTTCTTTAACTTCTCTCTTCATCAAGTCGCATCAGCTAAAGTGCAATCTTTTAACTAGATGCCTGTGATGCGTTGCAGGAAAATTTTGTTTTAATTGAATGTAGAATGCGATGGATGACAATGAGTACGAAATATTTATTCTTACCATGTCTTACCAAATTTTTTTGGCTCACCTAATTTGTGCAGGAAAGGAAGATCTTTTTATTTAAACACGAGAATGAAAGCATTTCAAGCATGCTTGAGGGGTACCATTGTTGTGAGGAGTGCTGGCAGACCTACATTAGTGCCCGGCTTCCTAATGACTAGAGCTTTATACTTCGCCACAAGTAGTGACGTCGGTAAAACTAGGACATGAGGTAACTGAGGCATACATTCCTGTTTTTGAAACTTAAATTTATTTTGAACAATGATGTTTAACCTCATGCCAAATAAGGCCAGCTTAGTTGGATGAATTGTTGTCGACTTTGAGATATAGAAATATAAAAACAGGCAACAGTGGTCTAAAGATTGTTTTGCACGCATATAACATTTTTGACATTTGAAAATTCCAAAAATACGAAGCATTAGAAGTTAAAGCTCTCAGCTGAAACATTATTATGTTTCAAGATTTCACCTAGCATGCAAGAATTGTCAAGGCCACCCGTCAAGATTCCCTGGTTTGGTATTATGTTTTATAATTTAATTTTTCGAAACATCCAGGACTCAGATCAGAATAGTGAGTACCTTTTTAACAGCACTAACAAAATTCCACGGATATTTAATCAGACTTGGATACCAAAGGATCTAAAATGATGAGTATGGAGACCCACGAAGAGTATTTGATGTTGTCCAGCAAAATTCTTCGGTGTCCTCTCCGCCAGACTTAGCTGCAATGCTTCTGTAATGCGAATATCCGTTTGCGACCGCTTCCAGATCTTTGGCCGCTATGGCCCGACAAAGCCGGCAGCGGATGGACAACAAAATTGTTCAAAATTTCTACAAACATTGAAATACACAACTCTATAAAGAATTCTATTTTTGAACGTACAACTACTTTCAAGCGAATAGAACGAAGGATGACTAAAATCGACTCAGATATAAATACACGGTCATTTATCACGACGGAACTTGAAAAAATTTGCCAATTTTATCAAGCGTTTTGTGTGCGACTAACCATTTGCCAGCGGTGACATTACCTTAAAACTTTACTTCCCGTTAAAAAACGATATATGACGACAACCCTTTTTATTGCGTTTGACCCGGAAAAACAACAAATGCCAACATCCAAGCAGCATTAGTCGATAAAAATCGCCTGAACTGTGAAATAATAAATGTCTTGATCGTTCCACTGCACCAAGATGATGTTTGTACTCATACTGTCTAATTTACACGAGTACACTGACTCTTTTGCTTGTCTTTCACGTTCAATCTTGTTTTTTTGCGAAGAAGAGTTAATTGGAATCAATTGATAAATATGTATATATGTGTGTAATTGTAAAAATTAAATAAATAATTTCCGTAGCGAAACGCTTGTACGTTTTGCTTTGTGGTATTAATTTTAAGCTTCTGAGTGTCACTCTGCGCAGAGTCTGGGACAGAATCTGCACAAGAAGTCACGTGATCAGTTGACCGTTTTAAAAAATGGCGGCCACCAGTGTAAACATTTACTCACCGCTTTCAAGACTTAGAAACGATAATCAGTTGTTGCTTGAACAACTAAGACACGGACAGGATGACATTTGGAACGTTTTGAAGAACATGCAATCCACAAGGGTTTCATATCCGACCAGAACATACGGAGAAACGAGTTTTACCTATCGAGGAAGAGATAGAACGCCATCGAAGGTATCTCGAAAAGTGCACGAGAACATCAGAAATACGGATCAAACAAGCACACCGAAAAGCTATGGGCAAGCTTTGGTCGCTGGTGGTAATGATAGAAGAAGCAGGACCCCAGTTATGCCGGCTTCTATTCTAACTACTCCTGGTAACCGCAAAAAGGTGAGATAAAATGTATTTAAATGTGAGAGCAAAAGCAGATGCAAGTCCTTAGCATTGTATACTACTGGTGAGAGTTAATATAACTACAGTAAGTAAACGTAAAAAGTTAGAATACCTCTTGTTCAGTGAAAGCACTGTTCGTATACTACACGTCTTATCTATCTGAACATGGAAACGGTCAGTGTGAAATAAGACATTACTATGCAGGGTACCATTAATCAGTCATCAGTCGATGAACTTTGTTATTGCCTGATCATGTCAATTAAATATCGATGTCAGTTGGAATCAAATTTTAATTAAACCTTATTTGCTTACTTCAGTGAAATTGTTTAAGCTAGAATTGTAAAAAGAAATTGGATCAATTTTTAATCAGTCAATCTCGTTAATTGTAACTCACCAATTTATAGAAGAAAAAAAAGTAGTGTTAAATCGAGTTTAAGAGATGTTTCAAATTGTAGATCTTCTAAAAACAAGGGATTTTCAGGTGAGATTGTTTTGGTTTATTTATCCTGGTTTACAATGTAATCAAAATAAAATGTAACATATACATGGACATGATTGTTCATCTAAACCTTTCTGGAAAACTTGCTGATGCCGTGTGTAGGACACATTCTTTGCCTCTGACTTGGTGATGCATACATGTAAAGCCTATTTCTTGATGATGCTCCCTCTCAAGGATACCCTTTTTTGAGTTCATGTGTTTCTTCCTTTTCAGACACCCAAAAAATCTTTGCATGTTAGCTTTGAACTTTCTCCTCATCAAGAGCGTAGTGTGATTGGTGGTAACAATGCAAGAAGGTCTCTCCTTGGGTATGACTGGATTGCAGGTCTGTTAGACAACACTTCGTACCTGTCAGAAAGACCAGATGACTTTTTTGATGAGTTGAAAGAGTTTAGAAGAGTTAACAAGGAGGATTGCTTTGGAACCACTCTCTTGGAGTAAGTGTACACTTTTAACAATGACATATATATGGGGTATTTAAGAATGATAGTTTTGGTGGGGACACAATGTACTCCAGTTTTGGAAATGGTAAGAAGCCAATAACTTCTGTACATGTAGCTTGTTACTGTAGCTCAGATCATACATGGAAAGGAGAGTGAGTCCAGCCAATCTCTCCTGAACAATAAAGGGGTAAGTTTCGAAAGAAACTGTGGTGCTGTGTTGGTGGGAGAGTATAGCACCTGATGATTTGGTTTTATTAATTGAGTTGATAATGTAAATAAGCCACCCTAAAGAGTTTTAAAGAAGATATTTGGAGTGTAAGCCCTTAGTCAGAACTGAAAAGAAAGTAACACTTGAAAGGTGAGCTTTGAAACTCTTGATGAGAGATCAATTTACATTATCTACTCAGTTGATAAAAGCAAATTATCTTGTTGTATTTTTAACAACAGTTGTATAAGATTCAAGACACTATGTTAAGTTCAAGCTTTGCATGTGGATTGGAGATAATCACTGTTAAAAGCTCTAATTTGTCATGTTCCAGTGCATTGCGTTGCATGTACATGTACATTTGTATTTGTATAACAATAGAGGAAACAACTTACAGCTGTACAGTCAATTTGCTTGATAACTCAATATGTACATTCAGTTGGATAGATGTGCACTGTGAACATGTGAATGTATTCTGGTTTAACCTTCTTTTCTGGGAACTTTGTAGCATTTTCTGTTTTAAAGGTCCACTGTGTATTTTACCAAACTTAAAGGGCCAGTTACTTAGATAAATTTAGCCTTTGTATAACAAAAATATGTTCTAAGTGATCTTAAATTTAGCTGAATCTTTCATCTGAACATTAAATTTTGTGAACAATGTCAAAGGAAGTGAAAGCTAGAAGTGGAAGGACATTTATTAAATGAAAACAACCCCCTTAAAAAGAATATGTTAGGCCTGTGGTTTGGGTTAGATCTCATGCAAATAAGTGGCCTAAAGAATTGGAGTCACTTAGTCTATTTAGCTACAATAATAATTGATTTGAAATGCTACTCACTATTAATTTTGATACCTCAGGAGGCCATATTCTCCACTTAAGTTTACTCCAGCCAGGAACTTTGCAGGCAAGGAAGAGGATGCAGTCACATGTAAGTATTTACTTATTTATTTATTTATTTAGCATCCCACATTTACAGCCAGTGAAAAATTTGTTTTCCTTGGTTTTGAACTCATTAGTTCCTATGAATTAGTTACCTCACCCCTAAGTGAAAGACAATGTACTTTGTAATTTGAACTAAGCCCAAAATTTGATGCTGTACAATTAACTATTGGTGTCAACTGCTGTTTACAGCTACATGGTGTATCTTCAATTATCCTTGAATTTTAGATAATAACCATTGCTAGAATTTATTGCAGTCAGATTCATCAGGGTAAATGATGTTTTCCTACAGGTGAAAATGCATACACTTTAAATGAGAGGCTCTTTCCTGTACCAATCCATGGCCCAGAGGCATCATGCTCAGTTTGTCATACAAAACGAGAGTCAGAGTATGAAACAGAGGGAAGTTATGTTCGGTGAGGGCTTTTGCAATCTTAGCCATAAAATACAGCTGTTATACTTATATAGTGAAGTCAAGAATACACTTTTTAACATGGTTACCACAGGTCAGGAAATGGCTACAGGAAAAAATATTGTTTTGAGGTCAAGGGAATTTCACTTTGAGTTAAGAAAAATTTATGTGTCTGGAATAAGTCAGAGAAAAGTTAAATCTTGTGTAAATATGAACTCCTTTATCTTGGTTTGGCCTCTTTAAAATTAACGATGCTTACAATTTTAAGTTAAAATTCAAAGCCTGATGTTTTTATATGGAATGTTATTCATGTAAAACTTTATTGTTTAATATAACTGATAGATAACAAGCATGTCATTTTCCCTTTTAGATCATGTTGGTTTTGTGAATGAAATCATAGTTACACTTTTTTTTCTTTTATTTTTATAGTTTTCTAACCTTTCATATTCTTTTTTGGATTGATACATTTCATTATTTTTCTTCTTCAGAGTGAGTGTACCAAGGTCATCACTTGTCTCACCCCACAAGTTTAAACCTCATAGACGAGCAAGCTTTGATCCAACTGATTCAGTGGGTTTGTCATCACATTGTCTGGCTGGATGGGAGAGTTCTAAACCCACAGTCATTCCAATGCCTTCATCATTAGATCTGAGAACATCGCTTCACAAGTCTCGCACCACACTGGTATGTCCTTATCTAGAAGCTACAAGTACAGTGTATACTGTACGTGTAATGAGGTTGATATTGAAAATATTCTTGTTGTTTGTGGGTAATCTCTCTTTTACATTTCATGTATTGTTCAGCTCTATTTGAGTATCAAGTTTGGTCACTGTGTTGTGATCAAGGGCAAGGCACTTTAATTTTTCTCTCGTATAAAAAATCTGGGTATAAAAAAGTCTAATGAGACTGTGTTGCAAACTTCTTAATGCAGGATCAAGGGTGATAGTAAAGGCAGAGGGTGAGGTACATGTGCATGGCACCTGGAGGAAGTATTAGTGCTGTCTTTGTGATGTCAGGCTCTTAAAGTTTTATTCAACAACTTTATGCAGACTTGATCTTGTTCTTGGTAATTGACAGTGCCTAAAAATTAAAACTTTTTATTATGGCTGCACTATTTTTAAACATTTCTAAAATGTCTCTATAGGATGCATCTCGAGCTGGCAACTTCCCTAGCTCTACTACTGAGACAACAGAGGAGTTATTAAACAGAAGTCACACACTCAGATATGGTCTTCAGGTGTTAGACAGAGAAAGAAGAGGAACACCTCAACCTCCTCATACCACACCATACCCTTTTCTCTGACAAGCTGCTTTTGTTTAGCCGTGTACAATTACCTGGAGATGATTCTATCTGTTACATGAAGATGGTACATGTATAGCATTATTCTACTCTCTTAACCCTTGAACTGCTAATATGTGAAAAGCAATTCTCCTTTCTAGATGTTTCACATTTCCTTGTAAAATAGCAAAGAGATTTAATGTTCGACATTTGAAACCAGGCAAGCACCTTTTAGCTTATACTGTACTCCTTGTATCTCTGTCTATTCTCATCTCCTGTTAAATACATGGATATGTGCTTCTCAATTCAAACATGTTTGATTCTGATTTGCAAAAAAATAATACAACGGATGAATTTAATTTAATCTACATGTAATAATGATTTATTCATACTGTTGATGTAAGACACATGTAGCATACTTACATTTATGAGTAAATTTTGTTGGGGAATGATTGCAAAGCAAACCAATCTATAGTTTCAGAAAAATTCACTCAAGATGTCTATAAAAGTGATCATGGCACATCTCATGTAATGTGATGTTTAGCTCTATTTACTTTTTATGTTAATTTGCTATTACTGTTTTTATTCTGTCAAGTGTAGTTGAAATTTGTGTCACAAAGGCAATATTTGAATGATTTTTAGAGTGAGGAATCATGTCTAATTGAGTGTTCACAGTGATAGGAAAAATAAATTTTCACCTTGAATGTTTAAATAAAGCTTAAAGTTTTGTTTTATGTTGATCCCTTTACCACAATTTTCATTTGTTATGGGAAGGTGTTGTATACATTGTGTTTGGTTCAATGTCATTTGGCCTTGAAATTCATTTGTGGTTCCAGTCAAATTGATTGTTGCCAAATTGCATACATATATTTTGTACAATGCCAGTTCTTTTTCTTTTGTTATAAGAACTCTTCCTTATTCTTATTTAGATATTGGTCTTCCCAAATAACTCCCCCCCTCTCCTGAAATTCTTGCTTCACAGTGCTTCATGGGCAGACAAGGATGTAAGAAGCAAAGAAACCTTTTAAAAGCAACCACTGTGATAAGTGTTTGACATACGGTTTACAGTTTGAAAGTTTTTAATTAACTATGGGATTGGATTGAGGAGAGGTCGTGACAGTTGCTTCGGTCGCCTAGAGTACCTGAAGAATCACGAACAGGAGGGAGGCCCTTGAAATGTGACCACTGTGGAAAACGATTTAGCCAGTCCAAGGATCTGAAGAGGCATATCAGAACCACGGTGGCCCAAAAGGCCCTCTTGGGCCACCTTACAGAACATATACAGGATAGAAACCATATGGACGTCATCACTGTGGTAGATGTTTTAGTCAATCCGGAGATCTCCAAAAGCATACAAGAATACACACCGGTGAAAAGACTTTTATCCGTGCGACTTGTGTGACAAGTCCTTCAGTCATTCTGAGGTTCTCCAGAGACAAGAGAAGGCATACAGGGGTTAAGCCTTTCCAGTGCCAGTATAGAGAGAAGCCCTTCAGTCGCGCTGATGTACTTCAATTGCACTCAAGAACTCATACAGGAGAGATACCATTTGTTTGCAGGCAGTGTGGCATAGTTTTTCGGTCGGTCAGGATACCTAAAGAGCTATCTTATCACACACTCATGGAAGAAGCCTTTTAAGTGCAGTTTCTGTGAGAAATGTTTTGCAAGGAAGCCGTCTCTGACAAGCACGAAAGATCACTCTCAAGAAAGCAGCAATTGTGCAATGAAGTACTTGGGAACTTTTAACGGACCACCCGTGTATTTCTTCTTAAGTTCTATCGACATATCTCTGTTTTAGTTGTGATATAAGTATTATTTTCCATTTGTTAGTCTTTTGAATAGCAGTTCAAAGAGAAATTCAACTCTTAATGTGATGTTGTACATTGTTACTACTTTAATGACTTAAGCTTTTTGCAGATGTCAAACGCCGACATAGTATTGATTGTTGTTCGTGTGTGCGTTCGTTAGTGTAGGGGCTGTCATGTGCTTTTGAAATTGAAAACAAACGTTCAGCGGCTGTGCAATTATTATTTTATTTTAGCTCAAAACCTACAATTGTGAAATGTTGATGCATTTATAAGGCATACTCTACTTGTAAAGACCTACACGTACAGGTGTGTGAACAGATATCAAATTGAATTACTCTGAAACGTTAATGTTTGAAAAACATTACATTGAACAAAGTTTTATAAAAAGGTGCATTGTCTACACGTACTGAGAAATTTCAGAATTTCCTGTATCCCTACAAATTCGTTAAATGGCTTGAGGCCACTTTTGTTTTAGAATGTGCAATGTTTTAGTCATCATGATTCGATGCAGTTTCTTCTTCACGGTCCTTTCCCGCCATCATATCGAAATTAACATAATCCTTGGTATCGTAGACTTCTAAATTGACGTGGTTCTGGCCAAAGAGATACAGAAATGAGATTGTTAAAACACTTAGTTATCTTTGCTAACAATTATATAAACTATCCTTTTCTTTAAATTGTTTTGCTTTCTTCCGAGTAGAAGAGTGCAAAGAGGTAAACAATTTCGCCTATCCGCGCCAATTTTGGGTGCTATCTGCTGATCACGATGCAATGTCATTCTTGTCCAAATAAGGATCATCGTTGCATATAAAACTTTTTTTGCATAAATTTGCTGCATGTGAATGTATATGTGTTTCCTTTGCTCTACTTTTATCGTAACTAGACTTAATGTGAAGTTTTCTGTCTCAGCAGTTGTGTTATGGCCGATAACAAAGTGTATTGGGAAACCGCCAGGCCTACAGGTCAAACAAAGTTTCCAAATTTGGTCTTAAACAGGAAATCCTACGTGGACAAAACATTAAAGTACCGACCAAGACTGCCCGAGTGCAAATGACTCACAATCTGAATCTTCAGAGAGCCAGATCCGAAATCGGAACAGAAGACTCCGCTAACACGCAAATCACGTAATTTCTCTAATTTTCGAACCCACAGAGTTTTGAATTCAATAGAACATACTCTCTAGACTTAAAGTTCCTTTCTTTTTTAACAGAATAATAACAGAGATGTAAACGAAAATTAATGAAAGCAACTTGGAAATAAAAAATAAAACGAGGCACGATGAAATATTACGAACAAACCTTTCGGTCATGAAGGAGTTTTTTAACCGTAGAACAAAGCCACTGGAATGTTGGCCTTTCCTGAGGTTTCTCTTCCCAACACTTAGTCATAATCGAATACCTGAAAACAAAATTATGACGCGTATCACATGATCAGCACTACAATGTTTGAAAAGAAAGCAGGCAATGTTACACTTCATGGATAAAAATCTTTTGGAATTTTCAAGGCCGGGAACACGAAAGTGACACGTTAAACATGCCACGATGCCAAAAGTCAATTGGGTTTAATTGGTCATAGGTCCCAAAAGTGAAGTCAGTTGCGCAAGATTCTATAGAAATCAATAAGAAGAAGCTCCAGATAATACACTTGGAAGTGAAGATCTTAAGGGGAAAAAAAACCGCGTAGTTTTTTTTATTTCTTTGTTTTGTTTTTGTTTTGTTTTATAGGACAGCACTCGAAACCTTACAATAGGTCTTTATAAATGAGAAGAAATATCTAAGTGCATGTGAGTAACTGTAATCGCGTTGCAAAATTTTTAAAGGGTTGAGTTAATCATTTGAACTACTCACAGTTCTTGAGAGATGTGGGCTGGCTTAGGCATGCGGTATCCTTTTACCAGTAAACCTGCTATTTCTGATTTCGTTTTCCCAGGATAAGGTGATTCACCTGAAAAACACAATAAACGTTAAACCGAAGTGTGAACTTCAAAAGAAAAATGTAAAGAAAGATAGAAAGAAAAAAAAAAGGGAAAAGACAGAAAAAATGAGAAAGAAAGGTGAAGTTATTACTTCCGTTTGTGCGGAACTACATGACAGTTTTACACCACGTTTATTTGAACAGCTGACCAGTGCGCCCGCGTTATTCAATTGGCGAGAAAACACAATAGTGCGAATAGCGCCCGATTCAAAGTTTAAAATTAATCACTTTTTGGAATGTTGGAGCCAGTTTTAGCACTTCAACCGTCGCAAAGGTGTGTACATGAATCGCTCACAAGAGTTTTGAGGAGAAAAGAAAAGGCATGATTATTTTTCAAGAGGTAAGACGCTTTTTTGTCGAGTAGTTCCTTCCGAACACTGCTAGGATGTTCCAGTGAATTTGAAAGTGATGACTGAGGTCATTTGCAATGAGACTAATGTGGAGAACTCCGCTCTAAAGCTTAGCATTATGTGAACATTAGGCATAAACGACGTTTGGTTATTTATGTATTGCTATTTAATCTTACTTTTAGCCAGACAGCATGCTCCTTCTAAGCAATTGATGAGAAAATGTTCTTCTAGAAAACGTCTCTGATTTTAAAATCACTTTTTCCTACGGGGGAATTATTCCTTCACTTTATTTTGCTTGTGTACCAAGGAACAAAAAGCTTTTATTTTAACTCAAAATTTATGGTTATAATGATAATACTGGTGAAAATAACAGTGATAATGTTGATGATAATGCAAATAATAATGATGATGATAGCACATGTATCCAAGAAAAATTAATATGGACAGGAATTTCAGAAAGTGGCCTCATGAATACTCAGAACCCGTAAGCTACAGTGTTAGTTGGATAAAACAGAATTTGACCTTCTTTCATTCATGAGAACAGCATGTATGAGCTGACCGAAAATTGTGAGTAATAAGCTTCTTGCTGACCTGTAGAACCACTCCCTCTCTATAAAGTATTCCACATACCTATGGTGAACACTTCCCACATCACAATGCCGTAAGACCATCTGTAAAAGAAAGACAAAGTGGAAAATTTTACGTTATGAGGTTTATTTGCGTCATTAATAACCTCTCAGAGGGTCTTTATTACACCATTGATTTGACGAAGTACTTTCAAGGAATATCAAGCTCATACAAAACTTGAGATGATATCTTTGTTTGAACAGTTTTTCCAGAGGTCTATCATAGACTTTTAGTGTTGTTGCCTCGGTTTGGATTTTGCGTAAAGCAGACCTCCATTACCTTTCTTAAACCATCTCTTTCAAATTGCATGTGTCATGGTCTCTTACAAAGATGTTTAACTGCATGACTCAGTTTTCCAATCTCTCAGATGTTAATTTTTTCTTATGAAGAACTAAAACTTTACTGTAAACTATAATCATGACCTGTTACGTTTTTTAACGTTTCTGACTACTCTTTGGGACCTTATTTTCTTTTTCTTTTTTTTTTTAATCAGAAAGCGTTTAAATGGGGAAAATTAGACATTTGTTTGGACTGTATTATTTAGATGATTGATGAACTCATGATTCAGTGTGAGAAAAAGTCTTGTGCTTAATTTGAAACAACTTACACATCACTCATAGTGGTAGAGGTTCCATACAAAAGAGATTCTGGGGGCATCCACTTGATTGGGAGGCGAGCCTTCAAGTTGTAAGACAAGTATATATCGTCATGAAATGATCAACATTAAAGCAACTAAATGTAAAGCACAGTGTTCCTTAACGACACCTCGGTAGTCATCTGTTCTTTGGAAATTCAGCGTGTTTTAATCATTGACCTTTTTTAAAGTTGTTTTTCTTATCTTTCTTTTTCTTTTTTTTATGTTTGGGGTTTCTATCGTATCCTTAGTCACTGTTAGAATTGTTAATTTGAATGTTCTAGGAATGTCAATTTCCTGATTGCAAGATTTGCGTTGATCTTAGATTTTCGTAACGTGCTAATTGAGACTTATGCATAAATTGGTAGCTAACTGTATATGACCCTTGCCTGAATGAAAGAAAAACTTGATTTGTTATAGAGTGTGAAAGGAAGAAAGGAAAAAGCAAAAATCAATCTAACATTTTTGTATAAGTCTAACTTTTACAAAAATGTTTTCAAGCTAATTCACAGTGAAGTTAGAATCACCTTAGCCTTTCTCATGTATACATCGCCCTCCAAACCACGTGCCAAACCAAAGTCTGATATCTTGCACACTTTATTGTCACCTACTAACACATTTCTGGCTGCTAAATCACGATGAACAACCTGAGAAGGAAAAAGAGTGTAATGGCATAGTGTTTGTCATACCGCCATATTTGATATTTTCGATCGATAAACAGTCAATAAGGGTTTAAATACGGATAATTTTAGACTCCAGCCATTTGCATTAAGCCGGATAATAAACATGTAAGTGCAATGTTTCACTAAACGAGGAGGAGTGTCTAAAATAAAGCTGGATTTAACATTATAGTGCAGGAGGTAATTTGATTGTAGCATCACTTTGGCATGGATACTTATGTATACAAGACATCACTGACCTTACATTAAGATAATCTGGTTTTATCAACTAAGTTGATGATGTAAATTAGCCACCGTAAAGAGATTCAAAGCTGACGTTTCGAGTGTTAGCCTTTCCCCGGAGCAAATGGAGGAATTGTGGGATGTGTGGTTTTATATAAAGAAAATGAATCTAGGCTATTGATAAGGAGAAAAACAGGAAGAAATTAGTCTTCTAAAAAGGCATTCGTTCATACCTTGGGGATTAAGAGTGCCGCTTTGAAAGATAAATTTTTGCTCTAGAGTTTTGCGGCTTTCCAAACTACCCATATGTAAGGAAAGGCCGCAGAGTGCCAAATGCAGCTTAGAATGATTAGGGAAATTAAAGTGTCTAGCGACTGGTTTGGATGCGTCCTTGTTATTCCTTTCTACGTTTCAAAAGTTGTTCTTGACATCGGTCACCTTGTCACTAAAGTATAACTTGTCGGCCCTTATTGTATAATACTAAGCCAACAAGGTTCAGCTTCTACCTATGTATTAAGACTATGTAAGACTGTATTGACCTTTCAAGTTACTACTGAGGTTACCTTCATTGTTGACAAATAGCTCATACCATCAGCGATCATCCACGCAAAGGACAAGAGGTCCTTTTCTGTGAGTGTTGAGCTTGGTCTCTTTTCTCCTGAGTTATAAGTATCCTCGATCCCTCTGCTCTTGCGCAGATATCCCAACAGATCACCGTATGGTAAATACTCTAAAACTATCATGATTGGGTCTAGAATTGAAAAAAATTAAATAATCGACAAACTAATCAATAAATAAGTCACTCATTAATCAATTAATTCATTCATTCCATACATCAAAGTAAATAATCAATCAGCCAATGATTTCATCGATAAATCAAACTTAGTACCTTTTTCTGTACAACATCCGATGAGTCTTACAACATGAGGATGAGGTTTCAAAGATTTCATAAGGTCCAGTTCTGTCAGTATGTCTTTTAGGTCCTTCTTTGTGGCATCGTCTTCAAAAGGTGACAAACAAACACGTTCCATGAGGTTTTTAACGCAACAACAGAACTTGTGGTTTCGAAAAACTTTGTAATGAATCCAGTCAGACAAGTATTTCAGAGGCTAAAACTTGTAAGCAAAATGGAAAGTACCTCTCAGTGATTTCACCGCCACCTCAGTTCGTAAAGGTCCGTAAACTGCATGGTAGACTTGACCAAAGTTTCCATTCCCTAGAAATCTAATTGTTTTGATCTGATCACGGATAAGTCGAATGCCATCCTCATTTTGACCCTCGGCTACAGTCCACAGTGCCACATCTAGAAATGATATGATTCGTGATATATTAAGAAATCGAAGGACAACTTTATTTTACGAGAGGAATTGTCCTTCGGATAATCTTTTTTTAAAATTTTAATTTATATTTTGAATTATGAATTGCGCTAACAGTTGAACGAATAACCTTCAGAAGGAGCTGCATTAAAGTTCATTCTACCCATATAATTAAAAAGCTATTGTCAAGAAGTCTTTGATTTTTGCCATGAAATTATAACGATTTTCTGATATCTCATAGGAGAATAACCAATTACATAAAGCAAAAACGTGGAAAACGGTAAAATGATTGAAACTTACTATCGTACGCACTAATGAGAGATTCTGCTTTTTCTGGCTCTACCCTCATAGCGCCTGTAGATTCTGCTTTTCCGGGCTCTAAACTCATGGTGCCTGTAGGCTCTGCTGTTTCGGGTTCTTCAAAACGGTCTCTATTTCTTTGGTGTCGACATCTACTTTACAAGAACAAGTAATTATACGTTGAAGTTCATTACAGTTACTCTCATAATATGCATCATTAATGCACATCGTTACAAGGGCTAGTTCACATTTTCTTGTAAGAAGATGTTTTTTTTATTAACTCTTAGTTGCAACCAGCAACCGGCACCGAATATGCCAAAAGTTGTTAAGAAAGGGTACATATCTAAGCGATGAGGTCGATACAAGATCGTATCATTAAACAATGTGAGGTGAACCTTCTCTAGCATTGGACATCCAGGTCTCATTTCGGCAGGAATGAGTTTTGTTCAAGTTTAGGCACAATTTGAAGTCATTTTTGTCCGGCAGTTATTTATTTGAACAGTTTCCCGCAACTGAAATTTATTAGAATTAATTGTGGCTTTTATTTGCAGTTAGAGTTTGCTGACCTTCTGTAAATGATAAAACATACAGAGCCAACTATGAAAAGTACCAATAAGACAACAAATCCATAGATAATGTTCAGATATATGACAGCCTTTGAGTCTGTGGAGTAAAAAGCACACAATATTGGGAACATAGATCAATGATTTCGTTAAGGAATTAACCCTTTACACCCCAGCTAACATTAGTATGTATATTTTCCATTCTGTTCTTTTCTTATTTGTGCAGTTGAAACCCTTTTCGTCGTTATACTTTCCATTTGGACAGGCTGAAACGAGAAGAACATTTTCCTCAGGAAGAAACTAGTTTGAGAGAGTTTTTTAAATTAGAAGGACAATGAAACGATATTTGAAAATGATTATTTATCCAGGAATCTATAGTCAAATGAGAGGACAACACAAAATAATATACAATGTGTCTACCAACAGTAATAACGTGGTCAGCGAGAACAACAACAACAACAGCAACATTATTAAAATTAAAATGAGATATAGTCATCGGTAAATACAGTCATGGTACAGCTGTGACAAGTATTTTAGGAAACCGCCCTACCTAAACAGGAAATCAATATTACAAACACTCAGCAGGAAATTAAAGAAAATTGAATATGCAACGTGGTCAGAAAGGCCAGAGAATAGATATGGATGGATAACATGGATTCAGGTTGGAAATATCAAGTATCGAAAGTAATTTATGATTCCGTCATTTAGGAAGTAAGTTTACTTCAAGATTGTTCAAGAAAACTCCCGCAATCCTCTCAACCGATCAGATACAAAACTAAAAACAATCGCGACAGTTTTCTTGTTTGAACTTTGACTTCTTATTAGCTAATAATAATGAAAATCTTTGTTTTTATTAGTCGACACTCAATTGAAAACTACTCTAACAACCTTACCTTGACATCTTCCGTCGGTATTTTCCATGTCTTCTTTACAAATACATCTCCCTTCAAACGAAGTTTTGTTCCAACTTCCTCTACTATCGCAATAGGCGTGCAGACTGCTAAGAAATTGAACCGCATTTTCTTTACATCTGCCCTCAACTCGTGAGATTTCCAATTCATTCGCTGGTGCTGCTGTTCTGGGTAACACTAACAAGTTGTTGCCGAGTATCTTCTCAGGGCAAAAGTTGTAACTAACTTTGACAGAGTACAAGATACTACACGCTCCATTATTATGGAATGCTAAGAAGAGAAATTTTCTTTTTATGACTACTGATACTGTTTTGGATGTTTCCACATTGGTTGGGTGTCCCAGTTCTGCTATTTTTTCATATGAAGTTGTGTGTGATAGAGGATTTGGATAGTTTGACTTGTCTATAATATCCTGGTTTGACTGTTTGACATACAAGTCGATAGCATTCACGCATTTATTTTCTCCTTTTTTCCCCATGGAAGAGCAATCTGCGATGAAATACCGAACAGTTACATCAAGTCTCTTAGCTTCATTAACCGTGATCTTGTCACTTCTCAGCCAACTGTTTGGTCTCGATGTAGATCTACGAAATATTCAGGAGGGGAGCCTGAAATACCGAACAGTTACATTAAGTCTCTTATCATAAACGTCAAATAAATTTAATAGGTAAAGGACAAAAATAATAAAAAAATAACATTAACCCTGATCTTGTCAATTCTCAGCCAACTGTTTGGTCTCGATGTAGGGAAAAATCACACGTTAAAATTATGTTGAAACATTCTCAAAACCATTCATTAGTTAGAATTCTTCTCAAAAACCATTCATTAGTGGAGAATTGAGGTATTCCTCGCGTTGAAGGGCTTTCCTACCAGAACTTCTTGGTCCGACGAGGCTAAGCCGGCAACAAGAATAAGAATGGGAAGGAAATTGCTCCACAAATGATCCATGGGCCCAGCTCTAACTGAAAATAATTGAATAACCATTAAGTATCGGTGCATCGCTGAGAGCGGCTTAGAAAAGGACCGATACAGCGATAGGTCAAAATTTATCGTACTTTGAAAATCTTCTTTAGCTCTTTGGTGTAGTCAATTTCAGAGCGTGAATATTCGAAGATGCTAATTATGGCATTAAAGATAAAGAATTGGAAAAGAAAGTAAGACTTCCTACTTAAGGCAATGACCTTCGCCTGCAAGTCTAAAGCAGTCATGGAAATTTCAACAGGATTCTTCTGGCTTATTCACGAAACGAGACACAGCACAAACATCAAGCGATACCGCAAAAACTGGGCGTATTTTCAACGGGTTTTTGCGTTAAATATTACGTTAGGGTGATATTGTCGCCCCCTGAAACCTAACAACGTCACCTTGTAGTATTGCCACAAGAAAAACCCAGCTTTAGCAGAAAAAAACACCAAGTTGATTTCACCTTTTCCGTTCATAGAGGACAACTTCCGTTGATATTGCTTTGCGGGAAATGCGTCTAGTTTCGAGAAAGTTTACTGTGACGTGTCACTAAGGCCATTGAAGCATTTTAAACAATTAAGTTCTATCAGCAAATTTCTTTCACCCATATTTGGAGTTGTGTTCTATGGAAATGTGATAAAAGTAAATGTTTATCTATCATGTGCTCTCCTTGATCCTCTAACGGATATAGCAATGCGAGTGTCAACCAAGTAATGACCATGCAATTAGGTTATGAAAGTTAGTCTGCATTCGTGTGGTGTTTGTGTAGTAATTTAGATTTGACCCAAATCAAGAGTCCCGCCAATGGACCATAACATAATTCTTTTTTTTTTTCTGTTATTTGCTTTATTTATTCGTGGGTTCATGATAACATTTACCGTAAGTACTGCACACGCTTTTTAAGTTAGCAGCCAGTTATATTTTAATTTAGGCGAGATGCAAACGATTAAAACCTCGTTAAGTCCACGACGAAGTTGAGAGTTTCGTTTTAACATTTTTAGCGACTTGGCCTGCTTGCAACGGTATTGGGGTGAAAATTATTATCTGTTTGTATTGCGCGCAAGGCAGTTTGTTTGTCCATTATCATAACATAGAATTGCCATATGTTATAGTTCCTACGTACCTGCTGAAACAATTTCGTAGCCGCAGTATATATTATTTCTCGGTAAAGTCGGTTTACACGTCCCTCTCGGTGCTTGAGAGATGCTTTAAGTATAATAGACTGATCGCAGACAGCCTAATGGATATTTTATCTCGGGGTAAAATATGAATAATAAGCTCAGATCAATCATACATGTATATTTCAACAGGTCACACCCCTGAAAGACACCGACAGTCGGTGGTAGATGTTTTGAGGCAATAACGGCACAAATTGTGGATTCTTAAACCGTCAACAACAAAGATATACGTGTTCCTCAAGCGATACTTTTTTGATAAGGGCACCTTTACCATTTACACGAACCAAATTATTTGAAATTTTATTTGCAAACATGTCAGCCGAACTTGGATTTCTAAGGGCAAAAAATCCAAAATGTATTCTGGGTTCAGTGGAGCAAGTGAACTTTATAGAGTCAAGTGATCAAACTACATTTAGAAAAATAAAGAAATCGTATATTTGGACGTTGCACACGACCTGCTGAAACGAATACTAATCTCACTTTAAAGCAGAGAGAGACAAAATACCTCAAACTCTAAAATGTAATTTTATTTAAAATGCCAGGAATAAACATGGCTTAAGTAAGTTACAACTACGTTGATGTTCTAATTTGTGATATAGTGCAATCTTTCAAAACTATAATATTGGAATAAAAATGTACTATTGATAACACAAACCTTGATATCGCGTACTCAAAAATATTTGTGCTGCAAAGTTCACGTACATTTTCAGCAGACGTCATTCACTTTACTCCTTCTACTAAAGTTTTGTTACTGGAATGCAGACACAAAGGAAATGAAACCCAGTGTTTTAAACTACTGTTTAATTGTTGTTCTCACCAAAGAAAGGCATATCACAACTTATGACTCTGACTTCCTGATTAGTTTCCAAAGGGTAACCTAAGCCTCGAAGTATTGTCTTAAGATGAACTTAAAATTCTTATTATTCCCTTCGTAAGAACTGCTACGCTTTCGCGTGATTTAGAATAAAAAAAACAAAAAAGCCAAACCAATAAAGTTTTGGAAAATTCGATTATATACGCTGCCGTTTTTTATCTAACCTAATAGCACTGCTGCTTAACTGTGACGAGACATTTTTCTTCCATCTGTTTGAACAATGAGGAGGAACTTTGACAGGGCATTTTAGATTAAATGTAATATTTTTTTTGTGATGACCACTGCGAGAGTAGTTTGCGAAGATATTCATGTGCGACAGGTTGTTTTCAAAATGGCGACTTTCATCGTGAATCGAATTTTTGGCTCGTATAAAGATGGTTTTCGCAAATTTTCGTTACTCTTTGGAATTTTAAAGTGCGGCTAGAAGTAAATTGAAGCTTACACTTTACAATGGCAGAGATAGAAATTGAAAAGATCGATGAAGCATATTACTTGATCAGAAATTTCCTTTTTTTGTGTGATTAGGTGCACTGTTGCCCAGTATCTGGATAATTTCCGCTTTGAAAGCTATTAAATGACCGTTAATTTTTAAATTAAAGAGTGTGAAACCCTCACTAAACTGAAAAAAGGAATGCTTCATGTTCTTGTTAATTTAAATCTCTCAGTTAAAACTAAGACTGAAAATAACTTTCTTTTTCAATAAGCATATATAATCAAGCAGATAGACTTGGAAAGGTTTTCCATTTTTCATTTCTATATGCCACACTGATTTATAATCTTACATGGGGTTTGTGGTAGTGCAAAATCTGAATAATTACTCTGTTAAGTTTAGAACATAAAACATCTTAAACACTATTTTAACTTATCTTATTTGGAACAGAGAAGATGAAACTTAAATATCGCTTTAATCTATGTCAATTACACTTGACCTTTAGTCTTGGTGGTAACATTGGACATCCTTTATCACTCTTCGTCCATCATCATATCAAAGTTGATGTAGTCCTTGCCATCGTAGACTTCCAGGTTGACATATGTCTAGTGAGCAGATTAGATAGATGAGACATGTTTCGAATAAAAAGTTAAAACTCTTTGTCAAGAAAATCTACACACCCATTCCTTGCTTTATATTTATTCCTCAGTCCATCAACTAGGTTTAGTTCCTGATTTAAAAGTCCTATTTTTTACATGTTTCTACGGCTGTTATCCGACGTGCCTCTTTCCCCAAAACGCATCCAAGTTAGCTTAGGATAAACATAGACGTCCAATTTAGCTTGCGATGAACATAACAGTGCGAGGATTCAAAGTGTTGAAGTTTTGGAGAGCGATACCTGGACCCGAAAAATGATCACTAAAAGAGACGACATCAAATAGACCATCGAAATATTTTTCCACTCTTTGAGATGCAGGTATCCAAAAATACACAACTTTGTGATTGAAAAGTGTAAAGTTTTAATTCTTCTGTTTCGTTTCCTTTCCAAAATCTCACAATCACACCAGTTTCTCCTCACACTCCCACTTTTTTTATGTGTCAGGAATACTGCACTTCTATATGGTTATGTAAACTTCGAGTTTAAAGTAAAAAATTACTGAGCAAAAGATTAGTTTAGATAAATGTTTTTTGGTTTTGCTTTTGTTTAAAGAAAAAGGAAAGAAAAACAAAGCATTACTAATCATGATAGTAAACAAAAACATATCACGAAATGAAAAAATGTTTGGGGAAGACCGACTGACAAACCTTGTGATCATCCAGAAGTCGCTTAACTGCAGAGCAGAGCCACTGAAATGAAGGTCTCTTTTCTGGTTGCTCTTCCCAACAGTTAGACATTATGGAATACCTTCAATGAGAATGACACTTACGCTTTTCTTACAAATTTTTCATTCCACGTCAATTTTACTGTATATTTTAAAAGTGAACTAAAAGGTAATAGAAAATTAGTTTTGTGATCTGTGTTATTTATCGAATCACTGATGTTTATAGTGGGTGAAACAAAAGAGTTCTTAAACTACTTACAATTCTTGTGAGATGTAAGATGGCTTAGGCATGCGATATCCTGTCCGCAGTAAGCCAGCTATCTCTTTAGGTTTTACCCCGGGATATGGGGATTCACCTGAAAATATTGAATGACATTGTTTGCTAAAACAGACAAGCTATTTTAAAAACATGCCATAATTGGTCACGATATAAAACCAAGGGCGTCCATCTTTGACTCGGAAAACTTACGCAATCGTTGCACCGAAAGGGAACCAAATGAATCGCTCTTTCCATGGGTGTTTCTTGGATATTATTATATTCGAAGGTCTTTTCCTTTTTTTTTTTGTCGCAGTTATCTCACAAAACGTTACCATATCAATATTTCAACCCTCAAGTGCCATGGCGTGAAAATGGTATGAAATTTTGCGCGAATCACGTTGTTGTTATCGTAAATTGTAGAACCATAGCCCACTTTTTTTTTTTCTGTTTTGACTTTTCCACATTTTTACGTCTTTAAGTAAGTAAAAATATGTATTTAAGCTATGTCGTACCTAATATATACGTAAGTCGTATAATTCTGGTAGATGGAAGTCCATTATTAATGAGAAATTTCTATCTAGCCTGAATATTCTCTTCTGCATTTTATCTAATTGCATTAAATTGTTCAGTCTTATATTTCAGATTAGCCAATCCCCTGAATGAATTAATATTTGGGTTTACAATTCAATTACGGCTGTTCCAGATGTGCCATTCGCAATAATCAACGTGTAATTTAATAATCACTTATTTCATTCAATTTCGATCCCGAGTGTTAATGTAAAAGTAAACACTTTTATTTGTTGCTTGTTTCGGAAAAAGGCAAAAGTCTCAAGGGGCTAAAAGATGATTTCGGCCTACTCGACTTTATTATTGCTGAAGCGATTGGAAAAGTGAAGGCTGTCTCTTCCGAAATGTTTATCAGAAATTTCCAATTTAAAATCCTAAGAAAAACAGTTTTCACCAATTCTCGTCCAATCAAAACAGGGTTCCAGATGATATTTGTCATTCAAATGAAAGGCTCCCCAGGTTTCTGCATTATCGTATTGAATGAAAAAAAAAAGACTTCTCTAGCACAGATTATATCGAGACCTCCCGCGGGCGATCAAACCCCATAACATCAACTAATTCCGGCGATTCTCGTTTCCCCTTATACTAAGTTCCCTTCCTCTTTTTTTCGATGACTGCGCATCTCTACACTCTTTCGGGCGAGCCAGACAATTATAAATGAAGCCGCTTAGGAGATAGTATCTCGATCGTGTTAAAAAGTCTTAAAAAAGGCCGATTATATAGAAACCCCGGTCAACCAATACTGTTGCTTTCTGCATTATCAACGGTAATACATAGTATCGATATATATGTTAGATAATAAGGGGTTCATTTGTGTGATTAAAAGAACAAGTAACTATTTACGATTTAGCAAAGGCAAGAAAGGAGAAAGTTTCTAGTTTTTAAATAGTTTAAAGAGTTCTTCGCAATAAATACATACCAATGGTAAACACCTCCCACATCACAATACCGTAAGACCATCTGTAGATGACAGACGAAAAGGAACAATTTGAGCTTATTTGATATCACCATGACTCTGATTATATATGTACACTTGCAATAACCGAGTGTCGCATGGCAGAAGATGACATTATTTTTCGAAATAAAAAAGGTAGTTATGATAATCGAAAGCATAGTAACTTTAGACTATTAGCTGTGCATTGCCTAGATTTCCCGCTTGAAACGGGTTTCAAGTCAAAGAAACAGAATACATCCATTTTTTTATCAGAATGTGATCACTTCAAAAAGTCTTTTAAGAATGAATAAGTGTGGCGCAAAGTGTGGTACTTCGCTTGATCTGAAAGAGTCATGACAACTTAAGTAAATAGGCAGGCCAATTTGCCTATCATCCTAAAGAAAAATTTGTTCTCTTGAAAAATCGTTGTGACAATTTGCAGCTTTTTTCATGTCGATGCTGTTTCCGGTGAATTTTTTTCCAAAATTATTTGAAAAAGGAAAAAATGAACAATTCATTACCTAACGACCTCAGCTTTTTAGGACGTCATATCTCTATAATATGTCAACTAATTTTCGCTATACGTTATTTGAAGGATGACAGAGCAGCTAATTAACGAGACAATCGACCAATCGGTTTGGCAAATTAGTCGAAATCTTGGGGAAATTTGGGATAAATGTAAACAACCTACATGTCACTCTTGGTGGAAGATTTGCCATGGAAGAGAGATTCCGGAGGCATCCACTTAGCTGGAAGACGAGCCTTCAAAAGAAAAAAACAAATAACTATCGAATAAAATTTCAAACTAAGGAAAACTGAGTATTATTGTAAGAATAGTGCCACGAACGGTCACGTTGCGAATGATTTATTCACGAGTTGAGGGGTTTTGCTTGTACAAGACGTCATTGAGTCTTAACGCGATTTAGCGGTTTTTCATTATTATCAAATTATGTATATAAACACACCATATAAAGAGTGTTGGCGCAAAGCTTCATGTTCATGTTGTAGTCACCTGTTTTTTTCTAATGTGGATATCTCCCTTTAAACCACGGGCTAAACCAAAGTCTGTAATCTTACACACTTTGCTGTCCCCAACCAACACATTGCGAGCTGCTAAATCACGATGAACAATCTGCAATACAGCACAATAACACAAGCTTGATACCCCGAGATGTTTTAACATAAGCTCTACAGGCTATTCCTTTTCATCTCACTTAATATCGCTTGATTTGGGTAGGTACAGAACTGACCTTGAAATGTTAGGAGAGCAGCTAACTTCACAAGGATTGCAGGTATAACAGACCCACAGATGATTCGAAACCTTTCCTTGTAGAATGGTATAACAGAGCTCTATTGTAAATGTCTGTCGTATAGGAAATAACTTGTTTCGTCACACATGACCTTAACGCGTAGTGAGATTTTAGGTACTTAGCTTTAACAGAATATGAATTGTAGGATTTACCTCCATTGCTGACAAATAGTTCATACCATCAGCGATCATCCACGCAAAGGATAAGAGGTCCTTTTCTGTAAGTGCTGAGCTCGGTCTCCTTTCTCCTGTGTTATAAGCATCCTCGATCCCTCTGCTCTTGCGCAGATATCCCAATAAATCCCCGTATGGTAAATACTCCAACACTATGAGAAGTGGATCTAGAAGTATGTAACGGTGCTGAATCAGTCAATTCAATAAATAAGAAATTCGATGAATGTGGAATTAGTCAGTCATCAAGAAATCAACCAACCGAAATCAATTTAAAATGTCCAGTACCTTTTTCGATACAACAGCCAATGAGCTCAACAACATGGGGATGAGGCTTCAAAATTTTCATGAGGTCTAATTCCGTTAGCATGTCTTCCAAGTCCCTCTTTGAAGCGTTGCCTAGAACATAAGTGAAGATTCAAACGACATCAATTACAATGAATTTGAAAGAAAGCCTTTTTACATCCTTTACCTAAAAGGAAATAAAGAGGTTGGTAAAATAAGAAAGTGCTTTTCCACTTTTCCACTTGATTTTTGTTCTTCATAAGGATATATAGAAGTGATAAGAAAAATGAAGGGTACCTTTCAATGACTTAACAGCCACTTCAGAATTTAAAGGTTTGTAAACTGCTTTGGACACTTGACTGAAGTTGCCACTCCCAAGCACCTTTACTGTTGTTATTTGATCACGATCAAGTCTGAAGTCATCCACTTTTTGCCGCTCAGCAACAGAACTCATTGCGACGTCTACGTAAAGATTGTTAATTATGAAAATCGATGGTGATAAGAGGAACAACACAATTATGATTAGTGATGAAATATGTGGTCCATGTTAAGGCACATGGTGTTTATTCCACCGATGTGCTTGAGTCAAATACAGAAAAAAAGTTACTACTATGTGGAGTCTCTTGCGCTGTTTGCCAGTGGTTTCACACCACCTAAAGGTCAATGTTCTTTTTGTTGTTTTTTTCTGAAATTGACTTTGTCTTTGATATCGAAAACGATTTAACAAACCATCTTTGTATTTTAAGAAGTCGGTAAATTGATATCAAGTGCAACGTCAGTAAATCGAACATAGTAACACTGCTCTAAAATATGTAAATGAAGTGATATTGTAACTTACCCTCGTTCACCACAACGCGGGAGTCTCTTAGTTTTGTCATTTTCTTGTGGTGTGCGTTCCTTCGGCGGTTCGATGGTCCATGCAAAGGCAGTTTGTGTTGATCTCGCCAATGTGCTTAAGTCAGAGAAAAAAATTGGATGGTGACCTTTTTGGAGACTCCTGTGCCGTTTACCAGTAGTTTCACACTACGCACCGACAGTCTTTGCTTTGTTAATTTTTTTTGTTACCAATTTAATGTATTTTTCCGTTTTTCTTAATTTGGCTTTGTCTTTGGTATCGAAATAGATTGAGCAAATGGCCTTTGCATTTTAACACATCGGTAATTCCATATTAAGCTCATTGTCAGCAAATTGTATTTAGTGACACTGCTTTAAAACACGTAAATTACATGATTTTGCAACTTACCCTCATTCTCCATTACGCTGGTGAATGCACGGTGTTCGTTTCTTTGGCGGTTCCATCTAACAAAGAATGGCACAAAACTGATTTTAGTCATGGCTCTACAGAATTACTATTTCGGTAAAGCTGAAAGGAAACGACAAATTAGCGACATTTTGGGCCATAAAATAGCATCAATATAATCTCTGTTAATCCTGGTGCGTCAGTTGTTGAACTTTTGAAATTCCTTGAGCTAATGGTATTTCTTTATATCTCGCCAAGACATTTGCAACTCATACAAGAATAGCAACTTCATTTTGATTTTCATTAATGATCCCAAACTCACCTGTTGTATATGATGTAGCAGGCAAAAAACACAGTGCAAACTACAAATAAACCAGCCAGTCCATAGATAATTCTGAGATGCAATGTTACCTTGGATTCTGTCGGGTAAAAGACAGGATTGCTTTATTTATTATAATGAAGCTGATTCAATCAGAATTGGATCTTAATCATGGTTGTGCGTGACGAAAATATTTTCTTCTAAAACACTTTTAAATCCTCCGGCAACATTCTTACCCGTCCTCGATCATTTTTAGGTATTGAACGTCCATCGCGCAGAATGCCGCGAAATGAATTGGCGGAGATATAGGCTATATCTACGGAAGCACTTTTTAATAATATTTTTAAAATTTTGTATCACTAACTGAAAAAAACATTTAGTTCCTGTTTGAATTCAGGCTCCAAGTGGTCTTCGACGGGATTCGTTGATGTTGCTATAGTTCGGCGTTTAGGAATAAGCAGTCGAAAGCACAAGTTTAATTATTTTGTTATTATATTTGAGGTTACTTCTAAATAATTTAAGTGTTAGATGAGTAAATCTAAACTTCAGAACATTAATGTACAATTTACATCTTTTAGTACTAAAGGGATGTAATTAAATATGATTTCACTTGAGCACAATGCACAAGAGATAAACCGTTTGATTGTAATTGGCGTGATATCCTTTTTAGTCCACGAACTTACTCACCTGGTCCGTTAGTCCCTACAGTTATTTCCCCGAAGTTTGCCTCGATTCCATATTTTCTCTTTGCCAAATCGCTTACTCGGTTTCTGGCGTGGATTTTCACGGTGTATTTTACAAATGGAGAAAGATTTCCAGCAGTAACGCAAGTCATGTTCAAGCCATCCCTTTTTGGTATGAAAATGACGTCACTCCCGCAAGATATATCCTCGCATTTGTTGTCGTTTTCACCTTCACATCGCTTACGGCATTCAACGTCATAAAACACTTGGGTCTGATCACCAGTAGTTGCAGGAGGCTGCCATTTTAACTCCAACGCGCTATGGTTAATGAAGATGACTTGGACAATTTTCGGGGCGGATGGAATAACTGAACACACATATATTAAGAGATGATATTAGAGGATTGCAGACAATGTTTGTTCAGGAGTCAAACTGTTCCTTGTAGTCTATTTTCTTATTGATTTTAAGTAAAACCCTCGGAGACTAAGCTAACTTGCAATAAAATACGGCAAAATGCACTTTTCTTCAGCATGTACTGACACGTTTCCTCAACTTATATTCAGAATATTTATCTGTCCGAGCAAGTTTTAAGGAAAATATTCTGAGGTATTTGCCGGGTTTTATCTGCGTGCTATGGTGGCAATAAGGAATTGTGTCATTTTTATTTAAAGGAGATGCTCATAGAATTAAGTTATAGTACTGAAAGGAAAAACATGACGTGTAAATATTACCTCTAAGTAGTACCGATAAAGTTAACTGGAAAGGTACCATTCAAAACACAAAAAAATAGACGAAATTGGGAATTACTTTATCTTTGCTTGTGTACCTGTACAATTAAAACCAGTTTGGTCGTTGAATTTATCGCTTGGACAATCTGAAAGGAGAAAACGCATAAAAAGAATTAAAATTTTTGATCAATCTCTCGGATGAGTTGAGATGATTTCGACCGTTTCACTTTTTCTCTATACGGAATCTAAATACTCTTAAGAGAAGCTGACAAAGCCAATAATCATCGCAGAAGTCAAAGCGCTTCATCAGAGGAATAAGTAATTCAGAACAATACTTAACTTTTTAAGGCATAGACATTGGCATAGTTGATAACCAAGTTCAACTTTATCTCCCTTTTAACTTATCAACTCTAAAAGAACTTAATAATAAGGAAATATGTTAATCAAAGACGCATGATCTGTGTCTGATAAAAATCAACCGATCTGAAAAAAATTGTCTATTGGGAAATGATTTGACTTTCGAAGAAAGACATTTTTAGGGCTCAACTTTTAGGTTTAGGTTTAACTCTATGTATCTTGAATATGCGGCATAATTAATCGTGTTGAGAATTAATGTGCAAAAACCTTTATAGTTGCACTTGTTATCGCGAGGTTTTTAGTCATCATATTACCTTTGCATTCTCCGCCACTATTCTCCGTGTCCTCCCTGCAAGTACATCTTCCCTTCAGTGAACTGATGTTCCAAACGCCATCGCTTTTACATTCCAGACTAAGAATACCTTTATTGTAGATGGCATTTGTAACACAACTTCCTTGAACTGGCACTGAGTTAGTAATGGGAGCCACAGAGCGTGGTAAGGACACCAAGCCACTAACAACAGTAATCTCTGGGCAAACAAGATAACTGACAGTGACAGAGTGAATGTTGCTACATGAGCCTCGGTTATGAAACGCTAGAACGATGAACTTTCCTTTCACTTGAAAACCAAAATGTCTCCTTGCATTAATACCAAGGGTCGGCAAAGTTATTTCAGCAATCTTCTCGTAAGTGGCTTTGCTTTGTAAAGGGTCAGGTGCCGATAAAGTAGTAGACTGATGCACGTAAAAGTCGAAATATTCCCTACAGAAATTAGTTGTACGAAATGTTGTACAGTTCACTGTTCTGTATTCAATGGTAATATTAACTTTTTTTACTTTGTTTGGGACTGAGATAAGATTACTTCTAAGCCAGGTATTTGGTTGTTGGTGGCCGACATCACAGGTGCGGTACTCTGGGTTCCCATAAAAATCATGTAACGGGTACCACTGTTCAGAAACAATGATAAAATAACAATATTTCAATCCAATGGATTTTTCGGCTAGTCTATGCTTAGTAGTGAGTAAAGTGATATATGGGGATTTCCAGGAAACGATTAGAATTTGAACCCATATTTAAAACATACTTGATATTAAATTCACTGAGCTATCTTTCTTGTACAACAGACAGGGGACTCGAGAAAGTTCTTTTGGTCAGTTTTGGAGACACTTTATCAACAAATTATAAAGTCATCCTGACCTCTAGTCATGAATAAGTCAAAATGAAAACGCCAAAACACTGAAAAAATTCACTTGCTCGGCTTCGTTACAAAACCGAAGACTTCTCGTGTATGTTTTATATAGAACGTTTGAGATAGATGTTTTTTTATCACAAATCGGTGTTCAACTAGGCTTCTACAACAGTTATGACTGTCTTATACTGTCATTGCACACTTGATGAGCTGATCTTTATAATGACAGCTAAAATGAGTGCTGCATTTAAAATTACATGTTGCAGGCAGTGACGGTTTAAAAGGTGTTCAGGTAAACTTTTTTGGCGTTCTTATGTAAATACGAGTCGATTTATCCTCTTCAGAAAATAGTTCTACCAGGCTTCGAACAGTTCCTTGAAGTGTATTTAGTAGCAATAACAATCTTTAAAGAATGTGCTTTGGACGGAGAGAAAATCTCCTGATTACATCTAAGTTAGTTGATAAGTTTCTGTCTACATACAGCACAGTTCATTTATCGTGGGTAATTAAAAGGATCAAATGTGCTTCTCCACGCTTAACTCCATCCGGATTTACGCAAGTCAGCTTTCTTAGTGGTGTTTCTGTTGGATTGCGCCCTTGACTGTAACAGTCTCACAATGCAAAATAAGTCACGTTTTTCATTGAATTGTGAATTTCATGTTCTGACTCGAAGTGACCAAGGGAAAGTATTCTATTGCAGATTCTTTTCGCAGTTTTCCATGGTGCGCTCTTCTTGTCTATGTAATCTAGTCCCTTTTCGGTTCAATAGGATAAGCTAACGAATTATGCGAGCTGGTGGGTTATTAGGGCAGGTAACATTCAGTTTTTCTACCTTTGCCCATAGTCAACGGTAGAGAATCGCCAAATCGTGTTATTGATCAGTGGAAAGTCAGACAATAAATCTGAGCAGATTTCTGTTCACTTTGGATGACAAAGAAAATCATTCGAAGTCTCGAAAGCGTGTTTATGATAAGTTTCTAGGTGTATTTGTAGCACAAAACTTCGCCAATATTTTTACTAGATTTTTTTTTTGTGTGTGTGAATTTGGAAATGAAGTGAATAATAGTCAAATTGATCAATAAAATGTACATAAATTTCGCATTTTAGCTACATTGTCAGAGCTACTGCAATGCGAATGACTGGGAAATTCATCGTGAAATGTTCTTAGACGGCAAGTCAAGTGTAACCCATTCGGTGACACATTTGCATTCACAAACCTCAACTGATTAGATATTAATTTACATATTCAAATTTTTTCACTATAACGACCCTCCAGCTGACAAAAAATATTACTTTTTACAAATATATCTATAGTACATGTCTATATATTTTTCAATTAGCACTCCCCAATCTTCAGAATCACAAATTTGATATAATAAAAGTCTTGAAACTAAAAATTTTTTTGCGGCCAACTGATTAACTCTTAATCCCTGTGAAGGCAAATCGTTTGTGTAGAAAGCAACTGCAATATTAACATATGTTTTGCAACCTTCGCGGTGTATAGAGAATCATTGTTTAACGGAAGAAGCATACCCCACGAGTTCCTCTTGCCGGACTTGAGGTTATCCAGTCGCTCCACCTTTTCTCTTCTGTCGGCCTCTTATATAGATACGCTGTAAAGGAAACAGGTCGTCTTATATGAGTAACAAATCTATGTGAAAAATGATTCTACATCATGTGCGCATGCAACAGTCTTGGGGTGGAAGTGGACCTATTTGACCTTCGAGGCTCGTGATTCTGCCTATGACTAATTTCCATAATTGCTCATAGGCGAAGCTTAGATATATTCCTTTCAAAATATTTTTTTGTTGACAAATTTCATAAAACACAGGTTTTCTTTAACTAGAAAATCGACGTAAAACTACTACTGCAAGAATATCTTTCTCAGAAAGTATTACATCATTTCATTCATACCTTTATCCGCCGATGAGAAGGTGAAAATGTGTAAGAGGGTAACGATTGTAATTGAGCAGTACTCCATGTCGTTGTTACTGCACCTTGAGCTACATAGGAAAACATGAGGCTTATAATAACACAGGAAAAGCTCTGCAATACTCTGGTCGGTTAATTTTGTATGCTTTATTTAAGAAGTGAATAATACTATTTTTTCAACTGAAACAGAATTATCACCATATTTTGATTACTAAAGCTACTCTTGTTAGATCTCTTAGATCAGACCCTTGACTAGTTCCTTTAACAAGGTTAAGACAACTGCTCACAATCGGAGGAGGACCCAGCCACCGTAGAATGTAAATTCTTGAGGAACCCCAAATGTTCATTCTCAGTGCCTTTTACAGATAGCATTAAGTTTTCGCGTTACTTTTCAGGGCCTGGGCTGGGAAAGACGGGAAAGAAGGCTCTAATGGTGATGGACTCAATTGCATAGAAGGGAAACTTTCCGCGGAAAAGAAATAAAAAAAGTTTACGAAAAACATTTTAAGAACAGTTTTGGACCGAAGTGCGACGTACATGCAAGGAATTCCCGTTTTTTCTGAAGCCATGCACAAAGGATTTCCTCAAGAAAATCTATTTTGAACCCATTGATTCTAAATTAGGCTTCTATTGCATCACGTATCGATCAGATTATCAGCATGCTTATCTTATATCTTATCTTATGCAATTTCTTATTTCCAACAGGTCTACCGACTGGCCATTGATTTTTATAGAACCGCCCATTTCATTTTGCTGTTTTTTTGTTACATGAAAATAACGATCAAGACAATACTTTGAGAGGTAAGCAATTTAGTGTTGCTTGTGATGTGGTGACCGTGTTTTGTAATCCATTATCTTTTTAGAGGCTGTCATATACATTTTCAGTCCAGGTAGTCATGATTTATAAGGCAAAAATAGGATGTTCAGTGTTCTTTGCTTATTAATAAAACTTTGATAGTTTCCCATGAAAAGCACTTTATATCAACGAGTTTTATTTTAGATTTTCTACATAAGCAAAAACTCCATAACCATACAAAACATACTAATGGGGCACAAGTCTACATTCCTTTTTTGTCTCATGTTGAATGATTGCCTCTAAAAGGTAAGGTGAACAATAAAATATTGTTCTTTCTCTAGTTTGTTTGTTTTTGTTTTTTTTCTTGTACGAAAGGGTTTTCTGGGACAGGAGGAAGGAGTTCCCTCCTCTGAGCTGTACCTTTAAATTGTTTTTTGGCCTTAATAACTATTCATTTATTTATGGGTTCATTTAGGGATACATTTGGGCAAACATTTGGTTTAATTCGAGCATGGCGTCACCATGACATTGCGTATCTTATTTTTTTATTTCCACGTAGAATAGGTTAGTATTGAACCTAAAGAATTTCAAACAGCTTTCCCAAATATCAAAAACATATTTTCTTCAGTGTGGCTGTCTTTGTCAGCAGCAAAATTTTGATGTGAAATATCTAGTGTCATACATAAAAAATAAATACAGGAATGTGATTGAGTTTTAACGTGAACCCATGACTAAACCTGATAAAATTGCTTAAAAATTACAAGGGTTATTGCAATATGGAAAGAGATAAACTGATATTATCGAAATTGTTGTTCCAAATTATGATACAAAAAAACTTCTTCTTTAAAGCAAGACCAGGTGTCTCAGAGAACGACATGCGTAAAGGGTACAAAGGTTTTCGTGAGTGTGAGAAATTATCATTGTTTAACGTTTGAGCTCGCAGTCGACAAGAACGGTCTTCCCAAACCTCAGGCCATCAATACAAATTTAACAAATTTTTGATATTAGACGTTTTTGGCTCTCCTTAAAAGACAATTCAATACTAGTTCTTTGAAATAGAAACCGACTGGTTGCTACGAACCTTTGTTGCAACTCTAGTGCAGCCTTTACACGTTATTAAACTACCGACAAGCAACAATCAATGTACCTTAATTTTTAACACCATGTGGAGTACAAACTTTTGCTCAATTTTTATTAAAATTTACTTTCAACAATTTCAATATCAAAATAAACTTGAGGGTTCAATTTTTTGGCAAATCAAACCGTTTCCTCACGAAATGTAATTTTGCTAAAAAACACCACTAACAAATATTTCCAAAACGAAGCCTTATGCATCGTGGGCAGCAAGCAATTTTTGCATTCCACTTCTACATGCATACTAAGGAGGTAAAGTCACCCAAGTAGAACTAATCATCACAATTCAGAGGCATTTGTACCCCAGACAACATGGAATGAAATGAAGGAAGCAAATTCAGCGAATCCGCTTTAGCTTTACTTTATCATAAAGCGAGTATCTTTCGGTTGCACATGGCATATCTGCTAATTGTGTTTACAGTTACTTACCTGCACTGTAGTAAGAATTTAAAAATAGATGAATCTCTCACTACCGAATGGAACAGAGCTCACAGCCAGCAAACCCCAGCTAACTGAGCTGGATAAAATTAGCTAACAATATTAGACTCCCATGTGTTAGCCTTTGTTAATAAAGACCTGCGCCAATGGTAACGTCGGTCTGCGCTAATATATGGGCTCTAAGGGTACGTAGTGTAACAATCATATGGAGGTACTGCATATACTTATGTAGCAAAATACTAAAGATACTGCAGTTGATTACTGGTGTAATTAAATTAAATTTATTTCAATTTATTTTGTGTCGTACCTTAACTAAAAACTCTTACGAAAGATTTCTAACAAAAAAAGGAACCAATTGAAAAAAAAAACGTTTGCCACGATCAGTATGCGAAAAAAGCTTCACAAGACTAGTAAGAATTCTGAAAGTGATATGCCTATGGCGTTCTGTAGCCTTGGGGCTTTGGAAGGCATCCAGAACCCTGTGATATTTCTTCCACTCTCGTAGCAGATCGAGAATTTTACAATAGAAATTATCGACGTTAACTTCCACGAAAGCTTTAACTGGAATGCAAGACATGACGAAGAAAATGAAGGATACATTTTTATTTCAACCACCATTTAATTTTTATGAAATTGATTTTATTGAAATTGAAATTTTATTGAAATTAATTTGAAGTTATGACTGACTGCACAGTGAGTAAACTTAGCTATTTACTGGTGTCCAACGTACATTTGGCCATCAACAACTTTGTCACTATAACTATGGCATTTTAACTGGCACACAGTAATAACTGACACCATACTCCACGAGGAACTGTTTCCTTTTTACTATTCTATGCCGCCATCAACAACTTTGTCACTATAACTATGGCAAACTGGCACACAGTAATAACTTACTCCACGAGGAACTGTTTCCTTTGCCGCCATATTGGACTTATCCTATACTCGCTTTCGAGCTACGCGTTACCTCTTTCCTCTCGATTCAAATATCTTGGGAAAGGGCTATTCTCCATGCCCTACTTGCAAATACATCTTCCCTTAAGTGAACTGAAGTTTCAAACGCCATCGCTTTGGCAGTACACACTGAGAATATTTGTAGCACGACTTCCTTGAACTAGCACCGAGTTGTTAGGGGGAGCTATGGAGCGTGGTAAGGACACCAAGCCACTAACAACAGTAAATTCTGGGCATACAGGATAACTGACAGTGACAGATTAAATGAAGTTACATGAACCCTGGTTATGGAAAGCCAGAACGATATGCACTTCTTTAACTCCAACGACTTCTTAAATCATGACAACAACGTATCTAAAAACAATGACCTCTCATTTGTTTAGAAGAACATTTTTTATTGATGTTTTTAATCACAAATCAGTGTGTAGATCCAAATCCAAATGTACTTCCGAGATAGTCGTCATTTTCCTATCGCGGCATTTGCATACTTGATGGCTGATCTTTAAAGTAAAACAAAGAAAACTGAAAATCATTTTAAAGTGCTCCATTTAATAAAATTATGAAAAAATAACTCATATGTACTGCTCAAAAACCGGCCGGTTTCCGAATACATATAATGAAGGGCTTTTTGATGGGAAGTCAAGTATAACCGATTCATTGAAACATTTGCGTCCATGCACAAAATTGGTTTAGGAAAAAAATTTACCATATCAAAATTTTTCACGTTATACACCTTCCAGCCGGAAAATGATATGTGCGTATAAATCTAATATGTATTTTTCAAGTAGTTTTCCAGTTTCAGAATCTTGGGTCTGATACAGTAAGTCTTAAAATAGAAACATTTTTCCGGGTGGCAAACTCCCGTTCCAACATGGATTGTTGAGAAGGCAACTAGAACAATAACATATGGTTTGCAATCTTAACTAGAGGATTATTGTAGGGAAGGAGGGTACACCAACGGGTCCACTAGGTGCCGGCCTTGCTATTGTCCAGTCACTAAAGGAAACCCGTCGGTTTGTGAGCGGTACATATGAGTTATTGACTGAGTGTGAGGTCAAGAAGGCTAGATATTGGGCAAAAATAGAACGAGACGAATATGCAGCCATCTTGCCCGAACGCTTGGTCAATAAAGGATTTCATATATTGCCAAAATATTTCACTTTATTTAGAATCAAGAATTACCTGTTTATTTCGAGAGACGAGAAAGAAAGCCAACCATTTTTGTAGCACTATAAACCCCCGAGAGTCGTTTATGTTTTCTTAGTCTTGACTGTATTCTGCGGGTTTTAGCGACTTCATCTCCGACTCTGTCCAAAAATTACGAACTTTTTAGTAAGTTCGTTCCAAGCAATTTTACTTTCTTGCGCGGAAGCAAAGCAGGTAATCCCGAGCGGGCAAGATGGCAATGCTTGGCAAGCAGAATATCGATGCGAAGTTTGAAAAGAGTTTAAGGAGCAATAGCAGAAAGGTTAGAGAATTTGTCTATGCATGTAGTTTTTCATGTATGCCCATGTCATCCACATTGTGCTGTTATGTATATGTTTAAAAACTATTAAATAAAACGAAGGTAAGTTTAACTGTCGAGAAATAATTCGTCAAAGTATAAGAAAGATAAAATATCTTGCCGGTCGATATTTAACATTGTTTTCTTTTAGCAAACTGATGTGCTCTTGCAAGAGTGAGGCTTATGTAGCATATTATTGCAACTATAAATTAAGCAGTGTCTGATTTAGGATTTCCAGCAAGGGGAATTGAACATACAGTCGTCGTCTAGAGGAAAAGTTAAATAAGTTAATTAACAGGAGAGTATCAAATCTGAACCGAATTTTACTTGCTTCAATACAGTTTTTCAACTTTCATCTTGAAAATGGAATACAATGTGAGCTGCTTGTTCTTTTGTGGATCCTTATGACACCAATCCAGATTATTAACAAAGTTCGATACAATACAATCATATTCCCTAGATTTTGGTCCTTGCTTTACTTTTAATTAATATTCTGAAATTTAAACCAAAATATTGTTTTAAGAAAATTTTGTACGAAGATGAATTACATTTCCTTGTTTCTTTTTCTTTTGAGACACAATTTGAAGAGCGCCTAAATGACCCAGAACAGGTATTTGGATGAGACATATTTTGAAGGGGATATATTTGCTCTAACCGTGGCAATCCTGCAATGGCGCGCTCTAGATCAGACACTGATTAAAAAAAGTAGAAAAAAATCCTGGTCCTCCAAGTGAAAATTTGCAATTATTGTAATTATTAGAGCCTGAATTTTTTGTTCAGTCTCAACTGCTTCAAACTAACTGGTTATTCAAGGGCAAATGAAAATGGTGGTTTGATTAAAGTGATTTCAATAGGCCTGGGTACTGCTGGTGAGTCACATAAAAGCTATTGGATGCCAAATGCTTTGTCAACTTTTGTTTCTTGGCATGTTTTAGAGTATTTTTTTTATTTTCCCATGAAATTAAAAAATGACTATTTAGTTTGTAGTAGTCGATAAAGAACGAAAGAAAACAAAAGATTCCCAGTACACCGCTAACTATTAGTTACCCTATTCTTTCAGGAGAATGAAAATCATTCTAAACACTAACAGATAATTAGTACTCACCATGCAGGGTTAATGAAATCACTCTAACGAATCTACCAAAATGAATTGACTTAAGTATTTCAGCCTTGTAACTCCAAGCGGAAGCAAACAAATAGAAGGGTAATAGTACAAAATATGCCAAAGTATATTTCACAGGTTCATGAAAACCACTCTAACAACTCCATAAAATTAATAGTTCACTTGCCAATAAGCTTTGGAAGTGACTTTTTGTTTTCTTTTGGTGATAAGAAAACTAAGCAATTGGTTTTCTTGCGTGAGTTAAGCGTCTTAACCTTAGCGCTTGGGGCTGTTTATAATGAAAAGCTATCTCAGCCTGGAATCTTTTGTTAACTAAGATGAAGAAAACATAACCTATAACTCTTTAATCCACAAAACAAATTTTAATCAAGTCAAAACTTAAAATAAAAACTGGAAATAATGTCTAATAATAAGTAATAAGTAACGATTGAAATAATACCCAATAATATATCGCGCTACCTCTCTCCACCCAAGATTAGGATCTTCACACTACATAACAAATGCTGATTTCAGCTCCCTGTATACAAATGTCAGAAACCTGCATCTCTGGCATACCAAGACAGAAAATAGTTACAGTATAAACCATTAATTGCATAAAAAAATTGGGCAAATGCAGGCACGAAAAGAAGGGTTTTTTCTGACTGAAAGCCCGAGTGAACGCAAATATGCGTCTGGTTACCTATTGTACTGATTTAGAACCTTAAATAAGGTTTGCGGTATGTGAGAAATCTCGAGGAAAACTGTGTTAAGTTTATAATATCGTATTTTTAACAGTATTTTATTTTATCTGATTTGCCACATTGAAGAGGAAGGATGAAACTAATTCAAACGTGGACGTCCACGTTCCCGTCTTTATGGAAAAAATTGGACATCTTTCATCACTCTTTGTTCTTCGTCACATCAAGGTGTATATAGTTATCGCCTTCGTAGTCTTCCAAGTTCACATTTTTCTAGCAAAAAAATAAGATAGATGAGACGTGTAGGCGCCAGGATAATCTTTTTTCGTGCTTTTCGTGTTTGGCTTAGTTTTGTTCTCCCTTTTTTTGTGGCTTTTTTTGTAAAATTGGTATCGTATTGTCCGCTTCTTTTGTTCGTATGTTAGGTTGTATTTCCCACTTTGTATATATCTTGCTTGTTGAGTAATTTTTTCGTCAATTCTGCTTCTGTCGAAGGCTGTTGTAGTAACAGCATGTTTCAGCCATCATTTGAAAAAGGCGAGCTCGCTGAGATGAGATTATAAAAAGAAAGCCAAAAAAAAAACAAAAAACAAAAAAGCCAAAAAAAAAAAAAACCAGAACTATCAGATTGAGCTTGTATCATTTCCCAATGATGCAAAAATTTATGCTATTTTCGCCCTCCCCTTCCACTTTTTTTTATATCCCAAAATACCCTTAAACTTCTATGGTTGCAAACTGTTAGTCCAAATTAGATGTTGCTGGAACGAAAGTTTGTAAAGAAGGATGTCCTCAAACAAAGATGAAACCAGAAACAATTCTAAGCAGAATATACATTTTGGACTGTTGGGTCGGCTGGCTTGAGCACCTCGTGCAAACGTAGGCACCAAGAGTCTGATTAGGAACCTTTGTCCACTCTCCGAGCCTGTTTCTCCCTGTGTCTCTCCCTTATTCAGCCCTAAGTACAGGCTCTTAAATATGCTATTGGTGGGCATGTTTGGTCTTACGGGACAACTGATCTTGGCAGAGTAAACATATTTTCAGAACGCCAATCAAAAACATTTCACACGACGTTCGACATTAACAACAAAGTACTTGAAAACATTCAATCTTCGAGAACTAAAACCTAACCAAAACTTTCCGTTGATTGTTGTAAGCAAGGTCAATGACAGATCCAAGCACAACTAGCAACGACGATTAACGTACAAGAATTGCGCCCTTTTACAACGGTTAAGGACACATCACTCAAAAGGTAAAAATATATGTGTGGTCTTGTTACACATAAAAAACCAAGGCTCGCAAGACTTGTATAAGGATTATAAGATATCTATAGCAGGCCTAAACAGTTCTCACATAGAAAATTTCTCATTTTAGTGGCTCCCAAACTCTTCTAATTTGAGGAGTTCATACCACAAACAAAGAAAAAAAGCAAAATAGGATAAGTTAAAGGACGACCAACAGACAAACCTGATAATCATCCAATAATCGTTTGACCGCCGAGCAGAGCCACAGAAATGTTGGTCTTCTTTCAGGTTGCTCTTCCCAACATTTGGCCATAATGGAATACCTGAAAGAAGCATCACATTCATAATTTTCTTACTTCATTTTTTTCTTCCAATTCACGGTTTGTCTTTTTCATTGTGGTTTAAAGGTGAACAGTGAAATATGTAGT